CTTTAAATATGGCTTGCATGAGCGACCAAGCGTTGCTCTATTAATAGAGCAAGTCCTTTCTAATCTTTGTATAGGAGTGACTCCACATTAGAGCATGTACACACTAGGTGTTTTAAAACGAGCGATTTCTAAACATTTCTGAACGACCCAAACAACACGAATGTTCTGACGCGTATATTATAAGACCGAAGTATTGACACAATAGTTTAAAAATGCACGGTAAAAACAGCTTTATGTATACTTGTTATAAGACAATTATTGCCCTAAAGCATACACATAAATATATGCGTAACTTGGCGTGTTTTTAACGTCATGTATGACTTGCTATTCTAAACCAATTAAATGGACTGTATTTGTAAAAGGCGTGTCTTTTTGTAAACTGTTACTTGGTAATTATGAAGAATGACCGGCGATGTCATGTCTAATTTGCTAAAAAAGCAATAGTCACATAAATAACTTCCTGCCTCGCACAGCAGCGTTGTGGAATGGTCTGTCCTCGGCGGTATTTTCAAACTACGACTTAGGGTCCTTCAAGAAGCGAGCGTATCACCATCTCAAAGGCCGGCAATGCATCTGCGGTTCCTCTAGTATTGCTGATGTCCATGGGCGTCGTTGAACACCTCGGTGTTCTCGCTGCTCGTTTGCCCCCTTCTGTTATAAAGAAATGAGTTTTTAAACTTGTGTAAAAGGGATAAACAACAAGACGATAATCAATTTTAATTCGTTTAAATTATAATGACTGCATAACTGAGAGTTGTTTTGTAGTGATTTAATCAGTCTCTTAGTGTTAATTGACACTAAGGTTATTCTTTACTATCTGTAAAACGACTTTTAGTAATACATTTCACCAAAATACTTTCTCATATGTTGAAAACTTCACAACTAATTTTATTCATATCTTTTTAAATCCTGTGTATCTGTCAAACTTTCCAATGCTAATGCATTTATTTCCCATGCGCGTTAAAACTTAAACAAAAGTTTATTAAAAACTTTGTTTGATTGAGCGATTGCTCCCGGCTTGGGAATCATTGATTGATTGATAGATGCGTTTTACATGTTTAAGTAATGACAAAGGAATTATATTCTGCTTAGAAATGTTTATTGTTATAAGTTATAAATTATTTAAGTTGAAAGTTGAAGTAATTTTAAAGTTTAAAACAAAGATAAAATATAATCTGGAATAGCTCATATGCGTTTTCAGTTTTTTTTACAGCTTGTATATATTTTTAAATGTATTTATTTCACGTTATTAATCTTTATTTATATCATTGTGTTTACTATTTATATTAATTCATAATCAGTTAATATAAAGAAGAACACAAGAAGATTCATCAAGAAGAGAAGAGATGTTGGATGTCCTCGCTGGCATCGCGATGAATTCATATTGGTATTTAATTATAAATTTATCGCGATGCCTTCAAGGCTGTCGAACTGTCGGCGAGAGAAGAAACCAGAAGTAACGGTATTATAATTTAAGTATTTTGTAACTTAAGTTTGTGAAACTAATTGTACATTTTTCTGACTGTTTAACCGTGGGTTTTTGAAACCAAAATCTCTGTATAAAACATATCGTTATCCTTTTTTGATAATCTAGTTTTAAGTCTTCTGATTTATATCTAACTTAAAGGTATAAAAAAATCGTTGTTTGTCATTAAAAAACTGAATTGATTCTTCAATGTATATACTTCTTCTTATGTATATTCTTAGTATGACTACTTAGTATGATGTATACTACTTAGTATGACTAACCGTAGGTTTTTGAAACAAAATCACTGTATAAAATATGACACCATCCCTGTTATTATTAACAAAACAGAGATAACAATGTGTTTTAAAAGGGGATTTGGTCTCAGAAATCCACAGTTAGTAATAATAAAGCAATCAATTGTTAAATGAATTAATTTGATAAGTTGCGAATGAAATAAAAACAAATCGTATTAATACTCAATACATTTGTGGTGATATTATACATAGAATGTAACACCGCAGACCGTGTTACATGAGACCGCAAACCAAAAGACGTGGCGCTTGAAACAAACATTCATTTATACTACAAACATATTCCACTGACCGAAATGGATGTATAAGGGACTGTTTTCTGATAAAACGACTGATAGAGGTGTATGGAAATAGTAGACCGCAATTCCGTTGACTAGAAATTAAAAAAAAAAAACACTAAATTAGTAACCTATGCGTTCTTCCAGACTGTTCTATATCTATGTCAAATTTTAGTTAGATCCATGCAGCCGCTCTGGAGATACCTTCTAATATCCATTTATCTATCCATACAAACATTCGCAGTTATAATATTAGTAAGAAGTAAGGCAGTAGACCCTTTGTTCGACAAAAGGCCGCTGCCTTAGTTGTTTTAAAACAAATATGCACTAAATAACAACATAACTCACGCCCGGAACTCAGAGGGGTAGGTAGAGACCACAGACCTCCTCTTGGCGCGGTCCTGACACAGCTGTATGGCTTCTACATCCATACATATACAGTTTCTCGTACTATACATACAAAAAATATTCATATTATATTTATAAAGGTCAGCGTATATTTTTATTATCAAATGGATATTGAACGTAACATTAGTTTGGTACGTCTCGTTGGTAATGTGAACCCTCCCGAAGTACCAGGCGGTCATAATGGCACAGGAGAGAGCTCTTACTTTAATTGTCAAACAAAGCATTTCAAAACCCGCCCTCTTCTCTCGCGACCATTGCTCTTCAGTGAACTTTGCAGCTTATTGTCTATAACAAAAGGAACACTATCCGATGACACTTGTTACGTATCTTTCAAAGCTTTGCAAAATACTGCAATTAACTTTGAACTTTATGTACATGAGAATAGAATTGCATTTACTGTGATGCATGATTACGTGTAGAATTTGGGAATAATATTTACATTAGTATTCCTAAATACTTTCAAAAGGGAACTTAATATTTTTCGTACTAATTTCAAGCATCAAGTAAATAAGGAAATATATTCTGAGTGCATCATCAATGCAAGGAACATTTTATCTTTCCTTATTTAACGACAATGTCGTGCAAGGGACTTATAGTTTCCCCAACGTGTCCCATGGGTGTCAAATGTGTATACGGTGGATGGGGGCATCTGAAGGAAGAAACATAAATGTAACATACGTATAAGTAAACATAGAACGTAACATTTGCCATTAGTTTAATCAATTTAATTGTATTTATTATCGTATATTTAACAACAAATATGTAAAGTCGCGTATAATATAACATGGATTTTATACAAATTTCCATCGTGGAAACTTCCAGTAAAGAACACTAAATTCCTAAAGCTAAATATCTTTATTGCTGTGCTGTACTGCATTTAAAACTGATGAAAACCTTTAAGGACATATGATAAAAAATATATAACACTAGCTGTAACTCGCGACTCTGTCCATGCGGAATTAAAAATAAACTTAATAAGTAGCCTATGTATTTTTCCAGACTATATTCTAGATCTGTGGCAAATTTCATCAAGATCCGTTTAGTAATTCCGGAGATATCTTCAAACAAACATTCATTCTAAACATTCGCATTTATATGATAATAAGATTGACATAAACATTCATTCCATAATACTAGAACGTCTTAATAGATATATTTACTTAGCAATCAAGCTGTCTATTAATTATTCTATTAGAGTCGGGGAAATTAAACAATGGTAACAGGATCCCGGCGGGGCTTGTTACAGCGACATATGGCTTGCTTTAATCGACTCTTCAGAGGATATGTGCTTTGATTAATAAAACAACGATAGCACTGCATTGCGTAATAAAAGACACATTATACATTGTCACTAAAGGAAACCCTTAGCGTAGATGTCTCATACCAAATCTATGAAAAGGAGAACGGACCTTAGAAGTAAATCGAATAATTCGTAGAACATCTGTGAATGTTCTCAACCTCAGTGACTTGTACCAAAAATTTATTTATTTTGTTTACTACAGAGAATGTAAGTAAAAAGTTTTTTTTTTATATCATAACGTGGCAAACGAGCGAGCAGCCACCTGAAATCGCTGAAATAGCGAAGTGACCGTTGCCCATAGACATACGCAATTGCATGCGTTGCCTACCTTTACTCGACGAAAAAGAGGATGCACAGTAAGAAAATATTTTCCTTTTCCATGCATTCTCTCATCCGGAAAGTCGACTTCCACTTCCCATACTTTCCTTATGAGATATAGGGTAAAGAAGACTGAATTAGGCCTCCGGGACGCACAATCATCAGACGAAACGCGGAATTGCTTCCACTTTTATTTAGACATAGTTGATAGATTGATAAACTATATCTAACATCTGAGACAGTAGCGATAGTTCTACAATATTCTCGAGGGATCGTGTCTTGTTTATCTCATTGAGTAGCGAATTGCATGTGCTTTGTTCCGTAAGTATCGACATCGATATGGGGTTATAGTTTATCTTTCCCACCCCTATTGCACTAACGTCGAGACGGCACATACATCAGTTTTATCCCTAGTTAATACGTGCACTCTTTTTGATGTCATACTTTATCATGATACTAGCGGTCGCCCGCGACTCTGTCTGCGCGGAGTTAAAAAAAACGTAATTGGTAGCCAATATGTTCTTCCAGACAATATTCTATATTTATGCCAAATTTCAGCAAGCAAATTTAAACAAACATCCATCTAAACATTCGCATTTATAATATTAGTAACAAGTAAGATTTAACCAAAATGATCCTATACTTGGTTCTTATTAAAAAAATCTGAATATGTATATGCCCGTTGAACATAATCCGTACCTTGACGGTTAACCTCGAACAGATTGAAATGTATTCAAATCGTATCTGTCATCGCGTCAATCCGCAAGCGAATCCGACACCCTCATCTATTGAACAATTTGTCAGTTTAACGCTCTAATTCATATCGACATATAATACATGTTACGAAATATCGACATATAATACATTCTATTCGATATATAAATTGGCAACAACACTAACAGATTATCACACTTCAATCAACTTCCAAAGCATCAGTTCGCTCATTACTCTGAGAATCATTCAATTATAAAGATGGTTGCCAAGCTTGTATTCCTCTTTGGATTTATTGCGTCTTCAACTTGCATGGTCTTGCACCAAGCGCCTATACCGTTGTACGTACCTATACAATATGAAGAGCCTGCACCCAACTACAACTTTGGATACCAAGTCAGTGACCCACACACAGGAGACTACAAGAGACAGCATGAGTCCAGGATTGGAGGCACTGTTCTCGGCCAGTATTCTCTCCTACAACCCGATGGGGTCACCAGGACAGTAGAATACCGAGCTGATGACGTCAACGGATTCAACGCAGTCGTTAACAATGAAGGAACACCGTACATTGCTACTCCCGAAAGACAAGATAATGATAATGTACAACAAGAAAATGGCAATGGAAGACAAGAGGATGATTCTAACAGGCAGTCTAACGCCAGGGCTCAAGTGGAGCAGTCGTGGCAAGGACAGGGACCTAATGAACAACAAAGCTCGCCTACACCGTTGACCATCTCACACACTTCTCTGATACATGAGTCATACTCTAAAGGACATAAATCTTGGGCCTAAGAATACACGAGAAGAAGAGGAAAACGACAGACTTTAGCATGAATGACATATTTATATCTTTTTATACCCCTTTTTGTTTTCTCCCAAAGTTATTTTTATTAATGATTGATAAGAAATACAATTTGTAGATCCAGATTTATTGAGTTTGAAGTTAACGAGAAATGCTGCAGCTCTAATGAATTACAATCCTTTTTTATTTTTCTAAATATATGCATTTTAAAATAAAAATGATTCTTACTTTTTCCCTTTAAATCTAATTATGTAAAAGTAGTAAGACCTCTTTTTATAAAAAAATACGCTCACCAAATAGAAAATATAACAACTAGAAATATTATAATATAAGAAAGTGTACACACGTGAAAACAGTTTGGAAATCAGCGTTGAAACTTCTTTTACAATCGAAGTTATAAAAGACGCATTCACCGTAGTTACCGATTCAGCACCAATACTTGATTTTGATCCTTACTGTTCACACAATACGGTGTGAAATTGTTTGTATTGATGTAACAAATGTACTGCTGCCAGCCAGTCTTATTCCACTTTATTTCCATAAACGAGTTTAAGAAAATTCGAACAAAACGAACGTCCGGAATTGATTACAGAGAAGTGAGTTACATGAGATGGAATTATACAATTTTCAACGTATTTTTTATAAAAAAAGGTGATAAACAAGCCAGAACCATTTGAATTCGCGAAAATAGCAAAGTGACCGTTGCCTATAGACAGCTGCACCTTTAATGGACAAAGTATGGATACCACATATGCGTTCCCTTTTCTGCTTAAAGTATCTCCCCTTCTCGTCACTTGCATATCTTACTAATATTGTAAATGCGAATGATTAGATGGATGGATGTTTGTTTGAACGTATCTCCAGAGCGACTGAACGGATCTCAATAAAATTTAGCTTCCATATAGAACATAGTCTGGAAGGACACATAGGCTACTAATTAAGTTTTTCTTTTAATTCCGCGCGGACGGAGACGCGGGCGACAGCTAGTAAAATATAGCTTATTAAAATATATTAAAGTAACTTTTACGATCTGTAAAAAAGTTAAAAAGCCCGCTAATTTTTAACAGATCAGAATTATTTTAATTATTTATTAAACATAAACTTGACTATTGTCAAAAAAATCTGTTTCATAGTGATCCATTTTGGTATAAGCTATCCTCCTCTTATAAGAATTCTCTGTTCCAACCAATGGTATTTTTGGTCTCGTTTTGACCTTCTTATATAAAAAAGTGTTCTTAAGTGTATAATCTGCATCCCTTCTTGAAATGGAAATACACTCTTAACTATAGCGGGGTTCGTAGAAATCAAAAGATAAAAAGACATTTAAAGTTCTATTTTGAGTCTTTTTCTAAGACGAAAAAAGGTGTTTAATTTGTTTGTTTGATCGAATTCACAAAATGTATAACGACATTCAATTTTAAAAAATACGATGTCAGCCTTTAAAAATTTCGAGGCTTTAAAAAGGAAATTATTTATTTGCTGTTAAAGTATTAGTTTTTGAATATTTGAGGTATCTTACTAATATTATGATTACGAAAGTTTATATGGATGAATGGATCGATAAAAAATGAAGGTTTGTTAGCAGGCAACTTCAAAACAGGTAAACTGATCGAGATGAAATTTGGCACAGAAATAGATTATTATCTGGGACCCCACTTCTCACTAAGATTACCGGTTAAGCTTACTTTTTCATTCCGTAAAAACGAATTCGCGGAAAAAAGGCTGTATTTTATATGCTTTAATTTAGGTATAGTTAAAACACTTTTCTTTTATTTTAAGAAATATAGAAAAGTTTGATATACTTCAAATATTGAAGATAAGTTTACCTTTTACATCTTTATACTGTAAAAGCCTGCTTATTTAAAACATATTTTAATACTAACACACATTTCGCAGAAACTTGAGAATAACTTAACAAATAAATCCGATATTCAATTCTATTGCCTTGACAATCGTTTGACGTCTGTCAAATTACCAACACCCGCACGTAAGCACCCATATTACCCAAGTCCTAAATATAATATTTCAAGTTTCAATATTACGTTTCACGTTTCTTCAATATATAAACTGCCAACGATCATTTTTCGAATCACATTCAATCGAACAACATTCAGAAATACATCAATTGTAGAGCAAAAATGATTAAAAATCTCGTACTTCTTTCTGGACTGATCGTGGCATCGACATGCTCGATCGTTCATCCAGTACCATTGCCCGTGCTAATACCAATCCACTACCAACAACCGCCACCAAACTACAATTTCGCTTACGAGGTCAACGACCCACACACTGGAGACTTCAAGAGACAGCAAGAAACACGCAGAGAGGGCGTCGTTCAAGGTCACTATTCCCTCCTCCAACCTGACGGAGTAACCAGAACTGTTGAATACAGAGCTGATGATATCAATGGATTTAACGCAGTTGTTAGCAACCAAGGCAGACCTATCAACGAAATCCCAGAAAGACAGGATGAAAATACCAGCGAAGGGTCAGGAAGACTAGCGAATGAAAGACCACAAGTGGAACAATTCCTACCTTCTAATGATCAGGCGACTTCAGCGCCTCTGACCGTTGCCCACACATCTCTCATCCATCGTTCTTTCACAAGTGCTCCTAATTCTTGGGACTAATTGGAATTGAAGACCTGACCTCGCTAAACAACGGACCTGACTCAGAACACTTATTTTTCATTTCTTTGTAAATTTATTTTTCTTGAATGTGTTTTTTGTCTTCAGTGATTTTTATAGGATTTTACTGGTGTTGGTTTTGAAGTTCTCTTTAGAAACGTGATATATGATTGTGAATAGTATGATAGAATCCATTCAGAGATATACCTCAGTTACTTTAAACTTTTTTTTAATATATATACTATGCAAATTTACACCTTTCTTCTTTATTTCTTTCCTATTAGTCACAATTTAATAGGTTGTTTAGTAGTATTTTTTAGATTGTACTATTTTATTATCAAATTGCAAACAAGGATCTCTTAATTTGTAATGCCCAACATTCGAGATGTGAAGCAACAGAAAATGATATTCATTTGCTGTGCTTAAAGATTTAACTTTAGAACCGATGTTGAAAACTTTAAAAAACTCCCTTATAAGCGTTCTTCGGTGGTTGGAGTTTGTCGGAGCTCGGTAACTGCAGGCTGAGCGTGCGGTAGACAGGGATTGTTCCTAAGTGACGTGTGGGACTAACTTTAACATTTTGCGCAGGTTTAAATACCGGAAGCAGTCTCTAAAGTTTGCTAAATGGAAAGTTAAATAAGTAGGAACGATTAATTTTTAATTTCTTTTTACTAAATTTAGTTACGGTGCAATTTGAGAAATATTTATAGTAAAGACATGGAAATTAAGGTAGAACAAATAATTTATAGACATGACATAGTTTATCGTAAGGAGTAAAAAAAGTAGATATTTTCGTGTCCGTATAACAGGGTTTCTACGGTCTAATTAGATTATAGTACACTTACCATGGATTTCTGAGACTAAAATCTTCATACAAACATCTCTGTTTTGTCAAAGATAATGACAGGGATTACAAAGTGTTTTATAAAGTGTCTTTAGTTTTGGAAACCCACGGTTATGTAATACTTTAATGACAGACGAACACCGGTTTATTAAACGTTACTTTTTTTAAGTAAGATACAAAACAGAAGAGCTGAAACTAGAAAATCAAAGAACAAAGGATCGTTTACTCCTCAAAATCGCGGTTTATTTGTTGTCAAGGTATTTCAGGGCGACATTACGGTTCATGTAAAAGTGTAGCGATTAACCGCCGACACGTAGGGGGCGCTAGTGTTGCTATTGTTTCGACTCCTGCACCCCGATCCCGGTCGACTGTTAGCACTTTTAGTGTTTCACTGCTCTTTGATATCTTTTGTCTATCCTTTGACAATATTCCATTGTTGAAATAAATGTATAGGGAAAATAAATCTGGTTTTATTAATTTTATAGTAGGTTTTCACTGTAACATCAGTATAAAAACATATTGTTATGTATTTTTAAAAGGTATTAATTGGATAAGTATTTTGATAAGTTTCAGCAGTGGAAATCTATGATTGTTATTTTGAATTCTGAAAAATGTTGATAAGATATTATTCAAGCTTACATAGTATGCGAAATGAGTCGATATTAAAATATTTTTAATCATATTTGAAGAAGAAAAAGATTTCTACATTTACCTATTGTTTCGAGGGCGTTCATAATTTGTGTACCTGATTAATCGGATTGACTTTACTATTTTCCTACATTAACTATACATTTAACACGCTTCTTAACTGTGTAAAATTACTCAAATTGCTATTAAGAGACACTTAAAGGATAATTTATAATTTTTCTCACATCATCATCTAAGATGGATCATCTGTCATGAAGAGTGACAGGCATCAGACACGCCTAGAGCTCGTCTCGGATAATTTGTCTCTAAGCAAATTACTAGAATTGATTAATTACACGATAAATACAGCTTGGTGACGTCATCATATGACGTAGTCTCAGTATATTAATGAGCAACGTCTTGACATCATTAGCCTACTTATGATCCCAGATAGTTTCATATCAGAATGTATTTAATAAAAAATAGTCTGGGGAAGTAACCTGAGGGCGTGGCAGTACATCTGCAGTTACGGGCACAGCTAAACAGGATTTTAATTTAATTTTGTGAATAAAGAAAATGTTGGATCGAAGTTACATTCGTCTATGAAAAATTTAAAAAAGAAAACTCTCAAATAAAATTCATGATGTGATAAATAATAGGCAAAAGTTTATGAAAAACTCTATTATATTATCATAAGCTACCAATCGCATACATTAACAAACATTTTCGTTAAATATGAACACAGAAACTTGTCCGTCAGGAAAGATTTACAGGTTATCATCAGGTATTCAGAGGTTATGTTCACCATTGTGACGATACTGCCGCAAAACATGATGGATGAGAGCAGTGCGTTCCACTGTCAGAGGTCTGGCGGTTTGACCTTGTCCCAACTCCTGTCGTTCATGGGTATCCTGTCGATACTGCTCCCCATGAGACCTTTCATTGCCCTGTCTAATATCTTCAGTCTCATTTTCACCCTGTCTCTCTGTAGATTCACTTATTGGTCTACCTTGGTTGTTCACGACTGCATTGAAACCATTAAAATCATCAGCACTGTAGTCTACTGTCCTGGTGATCCCATCAGGCTGGAGCAGGGAATATTGGCCTTGTACTATGCCAGCATTCCTCGTTTCATGCAGTCTTTTGTAGTCTCCAGTGTGTGGGTCGTTGACTTGATACGCGTAGTTATAGTTGGGCGCAGGCTCCTCGTATTGTATAGGCACGTAAAGAGATATAGGCGCTTGATGGAAGACCATGCAGGCAGCAGACACGATGAGTCCTGATAGAATCATTAGCTTCTGAACCATCTTGATAGTTTGCGTTGTTGGTGTTGTCTTGCTAACGATGTAAGATCGAATGTGCTTGATCGTTGTGACAGTTTCAGTATTTATATTGAAATGAATGAAACATTAAACCACATTCCGCAAGAAATGTAACCCGAAGACACTTTAGATATGCAGTTGTAATATTATATGAGAAAATTACAACGTGACATTGAAGAATTTGCTGAAAGTGATTTGTGTACGATGATTATTTGTTGGTAATGTTTTCGTGGTAATTTATATGTGGGTGTGTTTGAAATAATAAAAAAATTGTTCTTTTAAGAGTTTCGATAGTCATAGAAAGATGTTCTTGATACTTCTGCTAAAGATTATACTATTAAACAAATAAGTTTGTAGCGATAAAACAGATTGTTATAAACACAAATAAGTTGGTGAAAACGTGAGATGTAACCCTAGAGTTTTTTCAGGTGCAAATCTATAGAGATAAAACTATAACTTTTTTAATTTTATAATTTTAAGTGGAAGTACAAAACTATTCATGCAACATAAACGTATAAGTAGTAAAAATCTTATAGAGTTTGTTTAAAAGCCCAAATCTTAGAAACTACTGGACCGACTTGAATTATTGACTTTAATTCGTCCCGGAGGCCTAATTTAGTCCTCTTTCCCTTCCTATCCTTTTTCTTATAAGGAAAGGATGGGAAGTGGAAGTGGACTTTCCGAATGAGAGGATGCATGAGAAGGGAAAATACTTTCTTTCTGTGCATCCTCTCCTCCGTCGATAAAAGGAAAGCAACGCATATGCAATTGCGTATGTCTATGGGCAACGGTCACTTCGCTATTTCAGCGATTTCAGGTGGCCGCTCGCTCGTTTGCTACCTTATGATATAAAAAAAATTCTCTAGTTAATGTTTTCTGTCTCTCGTTCTCGTTATATAAAGGCAAGCAATAAGCTTTCGACTTTCCGAAATTTGTATTGCTTCAAAATTTAAGATACACAAAGTGTCCAGTACCATAACCAATTAATTAACCTAACGGCATGTTTACCAACGTCTAAGTAAGTCCTGAATAAACTTCTTGTAACTTATTTGGCAAATAAAGTCGTCTTTGGCGTTAAACAATCTCCAAATAAGCTGTGAACCGCAACTACTTTGAGAACTATCATATTTCAGTTAATTTACTTCTAGTTAGGTATCAAATTTAATTGGACATTGTAAAACGGGCCCTAAAAGTAACTTATTATATTCAAGAAATCAAACATCATATCCCTATTTTTCTCTTGCAAAAAAGGATAAAAATGTATTTATATCATTTTTCCCTATACTATTTTGTAGCTTTACATTGCAAACTTTACTATTTCTAAATACTTGTTTCAAGCATTTGAATAATGCAACAATAACAGCCCCGGCGTCCGCTGACACAGATCCCACAGTATTGTCTCGCATTATACTTTGTTCAGGAATGAAACTCTTCTCGTTACACCTGCAATCTTTTAGTGTTCCACTTTCATCTGTTTTGTTTTCTTTTGTTCCTCTTATTGTCTGTTTTAATACTTCTTAATTCTTTATTATTATATCATTGCTTTTAGGGATTGTAGATCTTATTATGATTTTTTACATCTTTATGTTTCCTTGTAGTGAGTTCACCAAAAGAACTTAATATTTCTCTTTGAAATTGAAGTTTTTCTACTCATATACATCATGGAGTAAACTTAATATAATAGTATTATGATCAGGAAACAATTAACGTTATCAATTGAAGGTGATTCAAACATCCTATTTCTTGTTCGGGAAAAGTTTGATATCGAATTATTTTACGATGTCAGGCATCATTATATTTACTTTTATGACAGATCATCCATAGACAAAAATTTGTATAAAAGCTAAAATAGTATTTTTGGAAGAAAGATTTCTGGGTTTTTGCCTCAAAATTCATCGAAACAGTCGATTTTATAAACTCTACATGTATTTTACGACTTTAATTAAAAAGTTTTTTAAAGTAAAATAACGGGTCGTTTCTAATTAAATTGGAAATTGAAAACTGTTGTCCCAAGCTTTAAGATTTACCATTTAACCTTAAAAGATCTTCTCAATAACGTATATTTTATTATCTATGTACACAAGTAATTCTACAGAAAATTACTGGTTGGTAATAAAATAAAATAGTGTGTATAAAAATGACATTTATTGAAATTCTGATATCAAATGTAAAAATCAAGTTTAAAAGGAACCAGGATCATAAGAAACTTGCAAAGAACATCGATCTTCCTTCAGGGTAGTTAGTGAGCATGACGATACTGACGAAGGACGTGATGGATGAGTGCAGTATTCTCCACAGTCAATGGCCTGACGGTTTGCTGTCCAGAAGACTGACGAAACTGTTCCTGTTGTTCATTGCCACGCCTCTCACTCTCTTCCCTCAATGCCTCCTCTTGTCTTTCAGTGATCGCTCTGCCAGCATTATTCACCACAGCATTAAAACCAGTACCTTCATCAGCTCTGTACTGAACAGTCCTGGTGATACCATCTGGTTGAAGAAGGGAGTAATGTCCGAGCACGGTGTCTCCTATTCTTGTCTCCTGTTGTCTCTTGTAGTCTCCAGTATGTGCGTCATTCACCTCGTAAGCAAAGTCGTAGTTCCTGGTAGGTTCTTGATACTGGATCGGTACGTAGAGTGGCACTGCTTGGTGTAAAACCATGCATGTTGCAGACATGATGAGACATGACAGGATGATGAGTTGATGAACCATCTTGGCTGATGTTGTCTTGTGAACAGTTGTGTTGGATATGATGAATAGTTAGATTTGATTTGGTATTTATATGATATCGGTAGTGGTTAGAAGTGAAATAGAATATCTATTTTTGCAATAAAAGTGGCAATATGACACCCTGTAGCAATCGGCTGCATAACCTTGATTTGTTGTGTTTTAGCACTCTAATCCCTATTCCATATAGGACATTGTCTTTAAGAATATATCTTACTAATGTTATTAATGTGATTTTATGCATGGATGAATAAATGGATGTTTGTTATTCTTCTTCTTGAGGTGCCTCTCCGACTAGCGAAGGTTGGCGATCAGTTCTCCATATTTTCCTTTGTCTCTTGCGAGGCGAAAAAGTTGGGCGGCACTCGCAACCCCTGTCCACTCTCGGATGTTGCGCAACCAGGATTTTTTTCTGCGACCAACACTCCTTTTAAGTTGTTATTGAGCATCTTCAAAACAGCTAAGCTGATATAGAAGAAAATTGGCATAGATTTAGAACAGTCTGGAAGATCTTATAGGCTACTAATTATATTTTTTAGGCTGCGCGGATAGAGCCGCGGGCGACAGCTAGTATTTAAATAAACTGTCATATACACCATCAGAATTCGTCCTCAAGGTCAATCATCTTTGTATGGAATCACCGTTTAAAGTTAATAACTCAATCTAATTTATATTTTCTAACTTAGCGAGAAATATAATTTGGTAAAGTCTGGATTATATAACATAATGTACGTGATATGTTGAACTCCGGAGACTTGCTCATTAAACTTGAGACGCTCAAGTTAAATAAGTAATTACAATTCATAGCCAAGGTCGCAGCTTAATAGAATACTTATTGTCTATGACAGTTTGTTGAAATATAATTAGAGATTGAATATTGAATGTCTCATTTTTTAAAGGCTCCCTAAGGGTTAGCTCCGGGGCCCTCAGTGGGGATGTGTAGTGAGCTGATGATGATATTAAAGTAGTAATGATACACTGATTCGTCAGCTCCCTATTTTATGTAACATTCCATGTAAAAGGTTAGAATATTTTTGTTAAGCTATACCGCTATTTCTCAACTGTAGATTTTTAATGTAGAAACCTATAGTATCGTTATTTCTGTTTTCTCAAATAAAATTAGAGGGATGTCAATGTAATTTTTTTTACATCAAAAAGTTTCCCTTACATCATAGTAGCATCCGAACTTAACGGCAGTTTGTGTGGTGAACAAAACCTTAATGATGCAGCAAGATAATGCTCAGAACACTATCGTCGCCCGCCGACATAATAAACTGCGGGGGCGCACATTTCTGCGGGTTTCCTCCAGCTTCAGTAAACCCACCTGACATCAAACTGCGTAGACATTCCCTCGCAGCTGACCACCATCCGCCATGAAGTTTGACCCTTTACTATCTGATGATATTTTCATCAGGAAATTTTTATCAACAATTTGCTTATTGAGAATAAAGTTGCTTAATTGTCTTTTTTTATGTCAAATGGTGGCAAACGAGCGAGCGGCCTGAAATCGCTGAAATAGCGAAGTGACCGTTGCCCATAGACATACGCAATTGCATATGCGTTGCCTACCTTTAATCGACGGAGGAGAGGATGCACAGAAAGAAAATGTTTTCCCTTTCCATGCATCCTCTCATCCGGAAAGTCCACTTCCACTTCCCATCATTTCCTTATAGGGAAAAGGGTGGGAAGGGAAAGAGGACTAATATTGGCCCCCGGGACGCACACTCATCAGACGAAACGCGGAATAGCTTCCACTTCACGCCTGTCTTCTGTGTGGTCGTGGTATTTCACCGGGCGAGCCGGGCCGATTCGTGCGAAGATGTTAAAGCGGACTCTACCATTGTCTGTACATGCAGGAGAACGTGTGGAGCCCCGCCGAGGTGATAACGGCGGAGCTATAATCCTTTTCTCAAACTGTCTAAGAGTAGTTTTGACACCTCCATTACATTTTTTTTAGAATGTCGATAAAAATAGAACTGTGAAATTTTTCTTTAAAAAAAAAAATTTTTTTACTACTTGATTTTTTTCTCTAAAGTTATGAATGATGTCATATTGCTTAAGAATTAAGAATAATAATGAGAACAAATATATTAAAAAAATATTTCTTTATTTATACAAACATCACATTGAAGAAAATGGCACAGAAAGGGAATTAGGATCACGTGTTTTAGGTTATTATTGTAGTGTGCTAGGAATAGTGTTAAACTTAATTGAGGATAATGGAGCTAGAGTTAGTTGTCTGTAAATAAAGAACATGATTTAAATGTCTCGTAGCTTAGCATCTCTCTGTTCTTTAACATTGGAATACATCGTTGTTATTATACAAGAAAATTCTTGTTTCCTCAACACCAATTAGGACATTCTAGTTAAATTGCTCGTTACAACATGGTCTATTGTGTGAAGGACGAAGAAATGAGGAACAATTTTCTTATAGATATTCGGAGTCATCATTTTCGTCATTGTTTAAATATTGTTTGAGATTTACGACCAATTTTTCAGGATGTGATGAATCAGAGCTTGAGAAAGCGATGGAGACGAGGTTGTTTGTTCGTTTTGAGTTTGCCAAGATTGCTCCTGTTTTTCTTCTTGCTTGCGTGAGTCATCTTTATCTTGTCTCTCAGTGTTGCTTGGTATCCCAACGTTGTTTACAACAGCATTAAATCCGTTTTCATTGTCAGCTGTGTACTGCACAGTCCTGGTGATCCCGTCAGGTTGGAGGATGGAATAGTGACCTACTACAGAATCTCCGTTCCTGGTCTCTTGAAGTCTTTTGTAATCTCCAGAGTTGGCATCGTTGACTTCATACCCGTAGTTGTAGTTTATCGGCTCTTCGTATTGGATTGGCAGGTAGACTGGTATAGACTGATGGATGACCATGCAAGAAGCATAGACGAACATCGCGGAAAGAATAATTAGTTTATGCATCATGTTTACTAGCTGTTGTCTTGATGTGAAGACGATTGTAGTTAGTATGATTTGTCAATGGTTTTATACGAGAATTTATATTGATCGAATTGTAATACAATCTTGGATTTTGCAATTAGCAACGAGTTGGTTAGTTGACACCAGATGAATGTAAGGATTCGACCCTGAGGTAGCCTACTTTTGCCTAAAGGAAAAATTGTGTTGGTTACTTTATCTTATTTCCAAAAAACTTCGTTAGTTTAGTTAGTTTCTGTTGGAAACGTATACAAAAAACATATTGTCCCTTTCATTCTCTATTAACAAAATGAGATAACAATATTTTGTTATCCGGTAGTTGTCTTTTTGACAATATGTTCGAATACGTAAGGACAAAGTTGGATTGTCCGCTGCCTAAATAACTGATTTCTCATTTGGTTACGAGGTCGTAGCTAAAGTAAACCCTCGTTACATCCACACCGAGTCTATGCATGGAATAATAAAGTGTCCTCATTGTTCACACGAGAATAATTAAAATAAACTGGACAATTTGCCCTCATGTGTGTTTATTTTACACTTTCATCTCGAAATAAAAACATAGTAACTGGTTATTTAAACACGTACTAGATCTACAGTTAAGCTCCCTTCGGGACCGATTGATGACAGTATGAGGTGCGGTTTTTAGTAATTTCCTTAGTGTAGATTTACTATGAGAATTCTATAAAAAGGGATCCACCTAACTATTATACATTAAGAAGTTTCGTTATGGGTGTTTAGTCTGATTTAATAGTACAACTTAACAAAATACCAATGAAAATATTCTCTCCATACAAAAAGTTCGTAAACAAAAGCTCTATAGTATTAAAGCAAGAGATTTCAAGAGCGTGTACGCTCGTTTACACATCTAGAGTACTTATACGTTCTATTCTATAATAGTTGAAATATATCGACATGTAAATCTAATGCAAACGAACCGAGGGTTGCTTGAACAATAGCTCAGGGTCGGCTATGGTCATATCTTTATTCTATTTAAATAAAGCTTCAGCTTTTGTGTTATTCACATTGAATCGTTAATTTCTCATTACGGAAGACCCTTTGAGTAGGTATATATTAAATCTACACTAAGGGACACCACTTAACCAACGCTCCAGGAACAGATAGCTTAAGAATTTAATTAACGATTCTTGGTCTGAATGTCCCTTGGTTTCTGAGTTCAAAGTCTCAGTATAAAAACATGTCGAAGTCATTTTTTATTACCAAATAAATATTTCAAACGGGGATTTTGGTCTCAGAAACTCAGTAATTATGATTAATGACAAACATAGACGTAGTGTTTCCAGAAAAATATTTTTGTAAACATCAAAAGGTTTAAAATTATACCTTTCGCTAAAAACCAATATCTTTAGTAAATAACGGTAGTGCAACCGTGTCCTTTTTACTGCACAGAAATAATTGTATTAAATTGTTCCAGGTGGTGACGATCAGACAGATGTAGGTGTGCGGCTACTGGTGGAGCCCAGTGATGCGGTGGCAGGCGCGGGGCAGCGCGTGGTGCTGGGTTGCGCAGCCGCCGCGCCCGCTCGCCTCAGCTGGCGACATTCCAACGCTGCGCCGCCTACACGCGACCACACGCTCACCACTACTGACTCCTACAGGTACCAGCAAGTCCAGAAGTCATGGCATTTATAACGCGTTTCGTCTGATTAGTGCATGTATCGCAGTCAGATTATATTCACACCCTTATTTTTTGAAAATTTGATCTGTCTAGTAGCATGTATAAGAAAAGATAAGATACTTTTATAAATTATATTCAGACAAAATATTAGCAACCTTTGTTCTCCAATTGTGTGATGAATTATAGGAAGCAACTGGCGAACGGTTCCCTAGTAATCGAGAGCATGTCGTCCGCGCTGGCTGGACAGTACCAGTGCGTTGCGACACGCGATGGCGTCGGCACTATCGTCTCCAGGATAGCGACAGTCTTCTTAGCAGGTTTGCTATAAACACATGTATTGCTGCGTTTGTGCATATTATTATATTAAGATTGATGTTCATAACTATCGACGGATAGGGGGGGATAAATATTTGAAAATTACATTCATCTTTAATTAATCCTCTTCTCTGTCCAATGATAGGCCACTGATCTGCAACTCTAACTTTTTACAAATATCCGGTCACTTCGCTATTTCAGCGATTTATCAATTTAGTTAAGAACTATGTTTGTATATTTGTATGCAGAGTTGCCAGAAGTGGTAGAGACGCTGCGAACGGTGTCTGGTGCGGCGGGCTGCTGCCGTGCGCGCTGCGGGTACCGGCTCGGTTGGCAGTGCGCGTATCGCCCGCCACGCCGCCGCCCGACCGCCGCGTCTACGGCAGCAATGCGCGCACGCATGCTCAGCCTCCTACACTCAAACTCAATGTAAGTAATATGTCTAATACTAGAGAGAGTGTTGATTAATATCAAGAAATCAACAAGAGCACTCCTTGAAAAACTTTAATACCTTGATGCGTCTGAAAATCACATCACTACGGTTTGGTTTTGATACCCTTTTTGTATTAGTGATGGAATCATAACCAGGTATAACTTATTATAATTGCAGGTAACGTGGCTAAAGAACGGGTCTCCGGTGCGCATGGAGTCAGCGCGAGTATCGCTGATGCCGAGCGGTGCGCTTGAGCTGGACCCGCTTCGGCCGCACGACGCAGCTCGCTACCGCTGCCGGGTCGCACTTGCGCACGCACCCACACCGCACGTGTGAGCTATTTACTGCACTTGTACAATTTAACAGTGGTAGACGCCGGCAATAACATCTGTTGCATGAATTAGTCGGCTCAACAAGTGCAATACTACGACGACAAAGAAGACGCGCCTCAAGTGGAAGTAATGTCGCGCACGCGAAAAATCCTCTTTCTATGCGATCCCTTCTCCGTCGATTAAAGATTTTGGTGGCCGTTTACTCTTTATCAACTTTGTGATACGAAAATAATCTAATTCATCAAATTATCGTTGATATTACAGCACTGGTCCAGAGATCGAGCTGCGTGTGAGCGCGGAGCTGGCGAACGTGGAGACTCCGCCGCGGTTCATCGCCGTGCCGCAGCCTCTCACCGTCATTGAAGGTAACTTTAGCCTTTGAGCCAACAACAATAGAGATTTTTATTTTTATCTGCTAATAAAATATTAAACATGACGTATTCAGGTGCGTCGGTGACGTTCGACTGCGCGGCAGTGGGCTACCCCAAGCCCGAGATGATCTGGCTAAACAACGGAGTCGCTATAGATCTCAAGTAAGTAATAAAAATACCCATTCTTCGTACTGATTTTAAGGATTTTATATTGATATTGTGTTGTTTTTTCGTATGATCCAGTGACCTGGACTCCCGGTTCTACCTGGTGGGGTCGGGGTCCCTTCGCGTGCAGAGCGCCCGTGCGCTGGACGCGGGTGTCTACACATGCCGCGCCCACAACCGCATTGACTCTGCCGACCACTCTACACAGCTCCAAGTCCTGGTGAGCGCTTTCTGTACACTTATTATACTTCTGCAGATCCTCTCGTTGTGGATGTCCATGGGCCTTGTCGAAGTTCCCGTCACTCGTTTGACCCGTTCTCTTGTAAAAATAAGCTTGGTTCCATATTGTTTGTGTGTGCACAGACTGCGCCGCGTGTGAGCCTACCGGGCGGAGGGGTGGCGCGCGCGGCGCCGCGGGGCGAGCTGACACTACGCTGCGAGGTGCGGGGTCGGCCTGCACCCACAGTATCCTGGCTGAAGGACGGCGAGCCTCTCACGCCTAACAACAGAGACATCGCGCTACTAGACGGGTTTGTTACAAGGAGCCGATAGTATCACAATTTGATCAAAATGTAGAAATATTTGTTTGACTTCGTTAACTATAAGACTGTGGTACTTAGTTTTGGCAGCTACTTGTCAATTTTGTTTTGTCAGGACTTAGTTTAACGCGTTCATTACCAACGATTGATCCGGTTGATTCTCGTACTGCTAGCGCCCTGAGCGAGAGCCTCCTTTTTACTATGCCTGCAATCGCGCCCTACTGTAATGCTGAAAATATCAAGAAGCTAAAGCTGTAATCTTCATGTCCTCAGCACGTCGCTGCGTATCCAGGGCGTGCTGTCAGTGGACGCGGGCATGTTCCAGTGCGCGGCCACCTCCCCCGCCGGCAGCGCGCTCGCCGCACTCCGCCTTATCGTCACCTCCCCTGCTGATGGTGAGTCTCCTCACATCTGACAGAATAGACTGTCGTCATGTCACAGCTCACAGGGTAGAAGACAATATGTTCTATTGTGTTGTAATTATAACTGCTTTTAAAAATTGTTCTTAATCCATCCTTTATTATTTTTCCTTTATTTGTTATTTCATTTAATTATTTTTTAGTTTTTCTATATATCAGTTGTTTTTTTCTTTAAGTTTTTTATTTTTCTTTTCATTAACAGATACAATATCCCGATCCCAAAATTCCCAGATTAAAAAGCCCTTCTCCAATACCACCCACGACATATTCAACACCTTAATCTCGGGCGATTCGAATTCGAACCTAGACCCCACGCCCGAAGATCTAGATTACATCGGCGAGACATCATCAGCGTACACCTCGGGTCCGGACGTCGACTACGATTCCTATGACTCTGACGGTGACAATTCCTTTCACGCTGCCGAAGGCCTGGATCTAGACGAGCTGGGTCAGGGGAACGCGACTATCGTCTCTGCGCCTAAGGACTTAAAGGCGGTTATCGTGAAGCATAGATTCGTGACCCTCAGCTGGGAAGAGCCGGAGCAAAAGGTTGAAGATATAACGGGTTATGCTGTCGTCTACAAAGTTAAAGGAAGCGAAAGGTATGGATAAACTAAGTTATTCATTTAATATTTACAAAATTTAGCATTTGATGTGTTTCCATCCTTTTTAAATTATAATGTGCTGTGTATTTGTGTCCAGAGAGCGCGTTGCCCGGGGCAGCCCGCAGCGGCACGAGATGAACGTAGCTTCCCTGCAGCCCAACACCACATACCAGTTCTCTGTCATCGCCTTCACACACCACGCCCACTCCCCGCCCACACAGGTGACATAAAAAAACCAACTTTAAGTATTATACTTCTTAAAACAATGGTCGCATTTTCTGGACTCTTCTTTATATTATACTGAACCATGACAAGCCTTGACATGCAAAGTTAAGTTAAGTAAAATATGTGTCAAGACTCTTTATAATACCCTACTAAAGTTTGTTTTATTTGGTGTATTTAACGTTGACGTGTTGTGTAGATCATAGAAGCGACGACTGCAGAGGAGGAGCTGACGTACGGTCCGCCGCAGGACGTGCGGGTGGAGGCGCTGGGCCCGCACGCCGCGCGAGTCTGGTGGGCCCCGCCCCCACCTGCGCAAGCCCCGCCTCCCACCAGATACGCCGTCTACTACACTGATGTAACTACACTAATATGATTATCAAACCGTTAACTTCTTTATTGTTGTGCGTTGCGCTGTAGGTTGTTTCAGTATTAATTTACGCTAAGAGAGACTTTCAGTAATGTATGGTTCCAGGAGGAGACGGGTCGCGAGCAGGTGCAGTGGGCGGAGGGCACTATGGCGACGCTGAGCGGGCTGCGCGCGGCGGCCGTGTACCGCGTGCGTGTGGCCGCGGCCGGGGGAGCGCCCGCACCCGAGCTGCGCGCGCGCACGCCGCAGGACGCGCCCGCAGCTCCCCCCGCCAACGTCAGCGCCGTGTCCAGCGGAGCTACGGTGACTTTATTACTTTGTCAATATCGCATCAATAGTTACTAATTATAACAAGATTGTTTGTTTATCATTTTTTATTAATCTACAAAGTGTTGTTGTAATTCCAACATTCGTTGTTAATATTATTTTTTCAGTCAATCTTAGTCCGATGGGAGGCGCCGCCGCCGCGCACACACCGCGGCCCACTGACCGGGTACAAGGTGCGGTACCGCGCGGGCCCGCCCTCCGCACGACGCAGGGCGGAGTCCCTCACCACGCCCGCTGACGCACGCCGCGCTGAGCTGCGAGATCTAGAGACCGGCACCACGTATCAGGTACTCAGAACATGAATACAGAAAACATATTCTTACCGTTTATTATAGAAACATTTAAATACTGTGATTAATTCCTTAATTAATCACTATGGAAGACTTTTAGTGTAGATGTCTCATACTAAATCTACTTGATTAGCCGATTTCTTCCCTTTGAATAATTGCGAAGTGGGTGGTATACTGTGTTCATTAAATTATTGATTCGTTCATATCTCAGGTGCGTGTGTGTGCGATCAACGCGAACGGTTCAGGTCCGTTCAGTGAGTGGGTGAGCGCGACGACGCAGGCCCGGGAGCGCGGCGAGGCCCGCGTGCCCGCGCCCCCGCCCAAACTCACCAGTAAGACATCAATCACTCATTCACTCATTCACTTCAATACATCACTAGAATGATTACTTACTTTCTTTTTATCTTTTAGAGCTCACGTAATGCTATGTATTAAATTATAAATTTAATTAAATTAAATAATAAAATATTAAAAATAAATAATGGTTCGATTATATAAAAGTCACTGTGGCTACATTCATATTGGTTTAATTCCTCGAGATTAATTTTCGTCATATTTATGGAAGGAAGAAAATATTCTAAAAGAAGTTCTTCGCCAATTTTTCGACGTTTTGTCGTACGTTTGGCAAATGATAGTCAATTCATCCAATTCATCGTCTATCAAGGTCTTCAGAACTGGTGTTGTCCTGCTCAACTAGACAATATCATCTGTCTCCATAATGTGATGGTCAAAGGAATTGGTGTGAGACGTGAAATGGCACGATTTTACAGCGCGTGCGGGGCGCGACTGGATCTCTGTGTGGTGGGGCGGCCAGGGCGAGGGCGAGGGCGTGGGGGAGGGCGAAGGGGATGTGGGAGGGGCGGTGGTGCGCGGCTACTGGCTGGGCTGGGGGCTGGGCGTGCCGGACGAGCGCTCGCACGAGCTGCCCGCACATCTGCGCTCTTACGTCATACGCAACCTCGGTCAGTTGCATTCATACTCGATTGGGTCACGGTTCGATGTCTCTTTGTCCAATTTACAAATGTCCTTATTAATAAAAATTTAAAATAGTAGAATTGGTTAAAATAAACACTAAAATTGACTTTAAAGCTTGACTATTAATTTTACTTCTAAATCTAATAGATTCATTGATCACTTCTTCCGCCATTAAATTCAAAATTACAAGTTTTATAATCAGTTGCACATAAATAGACTCTATTACCATCTCACAGAGTCGAATTCTGAATACGTGATATCGCTGCGGGCGAGCAACGCGCTGGGGCTGGGGCCGGCGGTGTACGCGACCGTGCGCACCCGACCGGCGCTCTCGCCCGATGACGAGCCGGACGATGCAGACGACCCGGACGACCCGGACGATCCGGACGACCCCGACGATCCGGACGACGACGACCAACCGCCACTCATACCTCCTGTCGGACTTAAGGTATTACGAAAGCCCAGTAATCAAAAATAATTTTAAAATTGATCGGACACTTTACAATGACATGTTTCTAATTCCAGGTGATCATGTTAAGCGGAACTACAGCTGTAGTTTACTGGACTGATCCGACACTTCCTAAAGGACAAGTAAGTGTGATTTTTGCCAAAATCATTTTGTTATATCTAAAATTTTTCAACGCATGTGTTTTTTTCTTTAAGACGGCGACGGACGGTCGTCGCTACGTGGTGCGGTGGTCGGCGAGCGGCGGCCGCGCGCGCACGTACAACGCTAGCGATCTCAACTGTATGCTGGATGATCTGCGACCTTACACCACCTATGAGTTCGCTGTCAAACTTATCAAAGGTGGGTCCATATTCAGTATCATATACCTTCCTGATGATTTTGTTTCTCTGTACCGTTAGATGGCGTTAATCATCATCAGCTCCCTATATGTCCCCACTGAGGAGCTCGGAACTTTCTCTAAGTCAGTAACTAGGCCATAGTCAGCACTGGCTCAGTGCCGGTTAACATCACACATATTGAATTTCCCAGATATGTGAGCATCACGATGTTTTCCTTCGCCGTAAATCAAAAAACACATTAGTACATGAAGTGATTCGAACCCAGGATCTGCAGATTGCAAGTCAAATACTTAACCCCTAAGCCACCGACACTCCTGGGGTTAACATAGTTGTGGTACAGGAGGTCGTGAGTCAGCATGGTCGATGTTGGTGAGCAACACGACGCTGGAGGCGGCGCCCGGGTCTCCGCCGCGTGACCTGCGCGTCTCCCCCGCCGCGCCCCCCGCACGCGCCGCCGACCTCGTCTGGGCGCCGCCACTCAAACCCAACGGAGCCCTCACTGGTAACCTCACTATGCCATCTCCTACTGACTTGCATTGAAACATTCACTGATGTCCTGCTCGAAGGACCAATAAATATCATTTGACACGTCTTATACATCTCTTATATCTTACTAATATTATAAATGCGTATGTTTAAATGAATGGATTGATGGATGTTTGTTTGAAGGTATCTCCAGAACGGCTGAACGGATTTCAATGATATTTAGCATACATATAGTCTGGAAGAACACATAGGCTATACTATTTTTTTTTAATTCCGTGTAGACGCAGTCGCGGTCGACACCTAGTTCCAAATACACATCGTTTTGTACTGAGTGGAATTAGTTGGTTTAAGGTCTTCAGAAATATCCTATAATCTTCTGTGTTTTAATTATTTGTATTCCATACTAAAGTTTAACAAAATTCATTGCCTTTATAATATTTGAATGTATATATGTTCCAGGCTACGTGATAATGTACGCGATCCAGCGGTCCGGGTCAGCGAGCGTGTCGGGCGCGCCGGAGGAGTGGACAGCGGTGGCGGTGCTGGGAGACCGCACGCGCTCCCGCGTGGACCGCCTGCGTCCCCGCACCACTTACATCTTCAAACTGCAGGCTCGGAACACCAAAGGTCTTGGACCTTTCAGTACGCCGGTTGTCTATACTACTGCTATGGGTTAGTACAATCGTTTCACGGGTTTTTTGATGCGTTTTATTGTAACGCATGACTACGTAGACTCCGCTCACTTTGATCTACAACGATCCTACTAATATTATAAATGCGAATGTTTGGATGGATGTTTGTTTGAACGTATCTCCAGAATAGCTCAATGAATTTTTATGAAAATTGGCACACATATTGAATATAGTCTGGAAGGATACATAGGCTACTTATTAGGTCTTATTTTAATTCCGCGTGGACGGAGTCGCTGGCGGCGGCTAGTATTTTTATAAATTTTTAAGTGTTAAAACATTTTTATCGCTAACAATACATTAGGCAGAGAAACATGTGTAGTTTTGTGCATCGTACGCAGTATAAGTTGTGGTAATATAACATAGAAACAGTTGAATGTGTCACAAATAGCATTGTATGTTATTGCAGAGAGCGGCGAGGGCGGAGGGCTGGCGAGCGCGACGTCAGCCTGGCTGTGGGCCAGTGCCGGCGGAGCCTGCGCTGTGCTGGCGCTGGCAGCCGCACTGGCACTGTCGCTGTGCTGTCGCAGGCACAGCCCGCCGCTGTCCCCCGACACCAGGTATAGACAACACATCAACCTATTAATCATATCTACAATTAACTTTCAGATTTACTTCTAATTGATATTTCTCAATGTATTGCAGCACGTACCAGAAAGCATCAGCGTCAGCGGCCATCAAGCCCCCTGACCTGTGGATCCACCACGACCAGATGGAGCTCAAGCACATGGACAAGAGCCTGCACAGCTCCGCCAGTAAGAGTACGATAAAATACCTTATTTTGGTCCTTCGATAACCGGATCATAACTATTCTTAGTTTTATTTTGATATCCACTACATTTCTCTTGCTAAAAGTACTAAATTTGTATACTTAAGAAGTCCCTCAAAGTTAATATATTCTACTAAATCTATATTGAAAAATGCCCTAAGGGAGACTCTGAGTGTGACAGGGACATCTCTAGTTAACATAAAAATCCATATCACTTAAGTGGGAATGGTATTTTACACGCAAAATTTCTAATTTAAACTATAAAAAAAAAAACAAAAATGCACGAATAAAAAGAATTGTACGACTTCCAGTATCAGCAGGCAGTGTGGACGGTCCCAATGCCTTGGTGTCATCAACACTGACGCTGGGGCGGGCACCTGCTGCAGAGTACGAGCCCGCACGCCACGCCCCCCCACACGCCCCGCCCCCCGCCTCACTGGACAGGCGACATTACGTGCCCACATATGTCGGTATGTATATACATATATACTTCTTGTAAAGGTAAGTGCTTGGATCCAATGGACGGAGATATGAAATGCTGCTGTCACAAGGTGAGGTAGAAAAATAGTTTGACTCTTGTATATAATGTGCTAAAACTGTACATATGTATGTAAATAATAATTACAGAAATCATTAATTATCTCTCATGGTTCAGATACATTTCGTTACATGAGAGAGACGGAAGATATAATTTAACTAACGTGAAAAAGAGAGAGACTTATACACCTTCTAGAAAGAGATAAATAATTGGTAATGTGTAACTTCATGTATCATGGTAAGTAAAAATATTATTCAAACTCAAAATAGTTCCGGAACTACGTAGTTAAAGTTGCGGCGTCCTTCTTCATGTAAGTATAAAATGGTTTATATGAAATTGATGTATTTTCTTTTTATTTGTCTCCAACGCTTGTGTTAATAGATTTTATTTTGGTAGTCGTTTCCGTTGAGCCCACATTTAGTTTGTTATGCGCACGACTAGATGCGCGGCGGTCGCCATCTTGCGGCGGCAGTGACGACACCGCCATCTTGCGCGCCTCGCCCGCCTCCGCCACCAGCCGGCGCTGCGAGCGCTGCGACTTCAGAGGTACCTTCTCTAACACTACGTTCCAATATCATTAAGGATATTTCAAAATATATATATGTTTTTTATTTGAGTTTAATAAATCTGAATTTGAAGTTAATAATTTCCATTACATAATGATGAACTTTTATTAGAATGTGTGTAAATTTGTGGATAAGCGTGGATTTGTTCACAGCGATGACGGGTGTGGGAGTGGGCGTGGGCGTGGGCTGCGCCGCGACCTGCGAGAGGCGGCGCCATGGCCTGCCTGACCAGGTGACATAATACTACCTAAATGTGGTGCTTGAATAAATTTCATAATTTTGTATGATAATGGTAAGGTGGTTGTTTTCAGAGCACACCGCTGCTGGCGGGCGTGGCGCCACTGGGCTCGCCGCAGTCATCGCTGGCCTCCCTGCAGCACCCTCACCCCGCCCACCCCCCGCCACCGCCCTGTCAGTATACATTACTGGCCTCATATTCTAATACTTATAGTTTATTTGATTGATTTAGAATATTGTATATAATTGTGATGTGTGTGTGCAGGTGGGTCGGGCACGTGTCCGCTGGGCGCGGCGTGCGGGGCGGGGGTGGGGGCGGGCGGGGACGTGTACGCGTGCGCTGCACGAGAGCGCGGTCACTACGTCGCCTACGAGCCGCTCGGACACTACACACAGTTAGTAGACACTTGATGGTATTCTAGCCTTTGATCTACATTTGTGCAAAATTTCAGGGGACATCCATCCATCCAAACATTCAATTTTATTATAATAGTAAGATGATAATTAAATTAATATACTATAAATAAAAAAAACAGATTTTCAAATTGGAAAGCAATAAATGACCATGATTTTTTAAGAAACTACATAAAGTTTCAAAAAATAATTCGATTTATTTACATAGAGTAAGCCCTGTGACCTTATTATTTGCAGTCGTGACTCTCTGAGCAGCGAGGCGGGCACGTGCCCCCCGGCGGGTGTGGGCGGGGCGAGCCTGGCTGGGGGCGGGTCTCTGCAGCGCCGCGCTCCTTGCTCCGCCCCCATGCACAGCTTCACACTCTCCGCTGACGGATCAGATCATTCCACACCCTCGCATTCTAAACGTAACTATCATTTATACTACCCGTAGACCGACTCTGTCCACACGAAATAAAAAAAAACTAATTAGTAGCCTATGTGTCCATCCAGTCTATGTTCTATATCTATGTCAAATTTCATAGAAATCTATGCAGACGTTATGGAGATACTTAGTAACAAACATCCATACATCCATCCATCTAAATATTCGCATTTATTACATTTAGATATTTTCTTTGTGCTAGCGGGAAGCGTGAGAGAAACATCTCCTTACAAAAAGAGTGCCAGCTCATCACCAGGTCACATACCTAACAGATTGCAGCTCGGTGAGTCCAAACATTCTCCATACATACGCTCATACATAAACATACATCTTTCTATAGTATGTCCTTGGTGATACTTTTTGTGTTTCGCATCAGGTGGTGGAGTGCCGCACTGCTCCGAGGAGTTGGAGCCGCTGACGCCGTCCAGGTCGACGGAGCGCCTGCACCGGGAGATGCAGAACCTCGAGGGCCTCATGAAGGACCTCTCCGCCATCACACAGCAGCAGTTCCACTGCTAGTGATGTCACACACTCGTGATCAAGTCTATACTAAAATGAACTTTTAATATGAAATAAGAGTTAAATAAAGCGAAATTATAGTCCGTCAGACTTATCTGACCCGGTATAACTGGAAATAAATTACAATATCTCACTAGCGACCTCCTGCGACAACATCTTTAGACTACCTGTTTTGTTTACTATATTTTCTGACAAAACTAATCGTGATGACTCATCGGGTCAGATTTGTTTGTCGCACTGTAATGCTATCCGCAAATTAACTGACGATTTGTTTTATAAATACGATTTAATATTAATAAATAATTTGCAGTCAAAAGCGTTAATAAATAATAAAAGCTCAATTAAAAAAAACATAACTTTGTCGAAAATACTTAATACATATGTGTTTTCACTGCCGTCAACATGTTACACAGTTATGTCTTTTCAAAGATATTTACGATATGTTTTTATACATGTTTTTGATAGTGAGAAATCATTGTTATTAAACAACAAATACTTTAAAACAGGAAAAAATTAAATAGCTTGAAAACATAACTTAATATACATCAAAATTAAAATTAAATATGAGGTTGTAATAATAGTCTGATTAAAGAAATTAAATAATAATTTATAATTAATTATTAGTTCACTTTCAGTTAATTCTTTACTAAACTACAAACGACTCGTAAAATAAAACTTAAAAATCGATTGCAAACATTCAAAGGTTTAAACAATACCTTAGTGTAAGTTTCTCTTATTAAATCTACACTAAGGGACATGTAAACCCAGTTAACTTAAACACTGCCTTTTATTTGCTTTTAAATCCATTGTATAATAACAAATTAATAAATAATTTTATATGTAAATATACATTTTTATAAATTAATTAAATATAAAATAACTTTTATAATGCGATTTATAAAACGGTGCCATTTAATACGAATATTAAAAATAATCTTTTAATAAAATAGAAACATTTAATTTGATTCTTGTGTATTCACTATATTAGTAAAAAAAAAACATTTATTTCATTTACATTAATTGGTAAATAAACGTAACGCATTAGCTGCACAAGGATATTATGATGAAAACATATTTCAAAATTTAATATTTCCGAAAAAATGTATGTATGTATTACTGACCCTTTTACATATATTATATATTTGTGTTGTAATTTATATTATTTACAATAAAATTCAAATTTAGAAAAAAAATAGGCCTTCGATTTGTCATATACAAATTACTATAAGATCGGTAGTACTGATTTTTTGAATTCGACGAAATGGCGAAGCGACCACAGTTACAGAGGCGTTTCCTTAAATCGATGGACGTTACGCACAGAAAGAGAATGATTCCTTTTTATGCGTCATCTCTTTCGTCAAATCCCCATCCTTTCCTTATACGAAAAGGATGGAAAGGGAAAGGGAACTAAAATTAAGCCTGTTTAAAAACTGTTCGGAAACGTGTCATCACTTTTATTGTATTAAAATAAAGATATTTTCCTAAATGTTTCGTGTTCCCGTATGCTGTCAAATATTAGATTATTTAGGTTAAAAAATATCAGATCTAAATTAAAACGTGTCTCGTGTGAATGTTTCGGCAGAATAAAAACATAGCAAAGACGGATTTGTTTGAAAGTTGAAAAGTTTGTATAGCGTCGCTTTTTAAAATCGCATTTCTGTATCTGTAAATATTTTGTACCCTAAACCTATAGTGTTAAGATTCAATTTTGTACACAGTTTTTATTATTGTATATTTCTATGTCACCCGTAGCGGACGTGTTAGTTTCACAGGAGGGCAGAATAGTGAGGCAGAGCAGTAGACTCAGTACTGCTATTGTTTGAACTGTGAAAACTATTCTGTCCTCGTGTGAAAGAAGCATATATTGGAAAGCAGACTAAAATGTATAGTAATGACAGATATTTTTGATCCACGTTTAACAGAAGTTTGTTAATTTTAGTACCGAATGTACCGCGACCAACGCACTTTGATACTTGTAGCCTCATGTAAATAATTCCACTTTTTAATATTTTTCTATTATCAATGTAAGTATAGTTTTTGTTAACGTAAAATCTCCGTGAACAGACAGACAGGATTCGCGCACGAATTTTAATAGTTTATATGTTTAGATATATTTTCTAAAAAAATCGATCTCTTCCCTTTTATACTTCCTTCTTCTTATTTACTTTATGCGTAACCATTTTACTAAAGAAAAAAAACGGATTCATTTCGTATTTGTGAAGTTTTTCCATTATTATACTGCTCTGTGGTACAATCAATACTAGTAATTTATAATTTATACTATTATACTTAAAAAAACGTCTTTTTAATAACCTATATTGATATACAATATGTTAAAGAAATTAAAACTTAAAAAAGGACATGCAAAAATAATAATACATTTTCAGTACATCAATAGGACGTCACAGAGCAGTGATAGTAATCTTATTAGTTGTTAAGAGAAACTTTTAGACTGATTTTTTGTATTGTATTGTTAGTATCGTTTTATATGTTAACTAAAGACGGATGTGAGAGAGCGAGACAGCATGTAAAAACTAAGGAGTTTTTATATTAAATAGAGCCATTACGAAAATTCGAAATTATTTTTTTGTAACCAAATCCTCCTTTATTTGGATTAAACGTTTTTTGTTATAATTTTGATACATCCTGTATACAACCTTACCTTACACATTTTTTCTTTAACTTAAATCAGTCCTAATCGTATAGTCCCGCTCTCACACAACTGCCAAATGTTTCTTCAACGAATTCAGTGCGTGCATTATTTCCCACCAACAAGAGACTGGTTATTTATTCCAAAATCCACTGTATTTATCTCATTTTGTACGTAATTATGATTTAGATATACTTTTAATTAATACATTTTGTAATTAGACGTTTGTATAAATTATTGTGAATCTGCCGCGACAGTGGCACCGCGCTGTGTACAACTAGGTTCAATAAACTTATACTATTTATTGAACATTCGTTTCATTTTTATCCTTAAAAATATAGACGTATTAGTCGTCATACAACTCTGTGTTAATTTTAAAATAGCAACCTTAAAAATGGCTCAGGGGTAAAGCACTTGACTTGTAATCTGCAGATCCTGGGTTCGAATCCTACTGTACCAAAGTGTTTTTCGATTTACATATGCACATCTAACCTTCGTGCTTACAGTGAACAAAACTGCACGCACTGGGCCAGCGTGGTTAACTATGGCCTAGTCACCCCTAACTTAGTAGGTAGGAGTAGGCTCCGAGCCTTTTAATATCATAAACTGATGATGAACCTTAAAAAATCTGAATACTTACGATGTATTGTGTGTATTTTTTTAATTCCCACATTTTTCTTATATATAGTGATGTTTATCTAATCTTACACAAAGTTAATGAAAAAAATTTATTATACAGACGTAAATAAAAATGTTAAATTCGAAGGTATACCCAAAGACTATAAAAATCCCCGTTGTTTGTTATCAGCAATGTATTTTATAGTCTTTTGTATACTCTTTGTCAGCAAACGTCAGTGTCATTGCATTATGGTAGGGATGTAGTCGTTTACAATTTTAGCGTCATCGAAACGGTTAATTTTTGGACGTCTCAGAAAAACAGTTGATTTGGCCAACTAGTTTTTATATTCAATAAATAAAAACCTGAAAACTATCAGATAAAGAAAAGACAACTAGTGATTTCTATGTAAATTTAAGTTGAATTCAACTAGTTAAACACAAAAACTTTCAACGGTGGAAACTTTGAAGCGTGATCAACAGTACATTCAACTAGTTCGTTGAATCAACGCTCATCCCTACATTGTAATTAGTGTCATCTCAAAATGTCAAACACTTTTATGTTTGGAAAGTGTTAACGTTATTGATATTGTACTTTTATATTTTGTATGAGGCCAAGATATAGAATTATTGGTCATTTGCTTATAAAGAAATTGTCGTTTCATTCGGTTTAAATGTTATTGTATCCTAATTTTTAGTTTTTACAAGGTTACTATTTGCAGTCCTCGAGACTTCCTCATGTTGACAATGAAAGACATGGCTTTGAAGATGGTAAATATGATAATTAACATACAATTGAGTAACAATGGCATTTATTTCATTCAGTTTCAATACTAAGAGTGTTCATGAAACATTATAGTTATTTTTTTAGAAGACTATTTTCATTGAAATCTGTAAAATCCAGTACATCTTGTTGGGTTTTCTTATTTATATATTTTTTTATGTCGGAAAGAAAAAAAATTAACTTTTAATACTTTGTGTTTCTTTCAATTTAAAGGCTAATAACGAAACTCAATCTAGAAGTCAAATAGAAGAATATTGGTCCGAACATTTTCTATCTAAATTTGGATTGGAATATATTAAATACGATATTTTAATTAAAAAACGGGAATGTAAAAACAAGGATATACTTAAGGTGAGTAACCCAGTTTGAGTTGTGGCACCAGAGTGTATAGTTAGTACCAAAAAATTTCCAAATCAATACCTAGCCAGACATTTTAATCCAGGAAACATGCTTAATAGACTTACTATTTACTAATAAATTTGTTGCATCAAACAAAATTTGTACAGTTTAACAATAGACATATGTATAAATTTTTGTAATAATGGTTTTTAATTAGAAAATATTTAAACAAAAAATATTGAAAAAATGCGCACTGAAACATGTCAGCATCAATTTTTTGTTAAAATCTTTAAATATGATGTCATGTATTTATAAATATAAAACTGTGTAGGACTTTGTTTTTCAAGCGGCCAATATTTATGTTCCTAAAAGTTTTTTATACATTTTAATTTATAATAGGACCATTTCTTTTAATTGCACAAATTTTGCAACAATCTTATTTAATAAGACTATCCAATGGCATACTTATAGAATGGAACAATTACAATGTACACAAACATTTTTGACATGTATTTCAGTTAAAGGCATGCACAAATTAGTAGTAGTTGTTGAAACACTATTGTACAATCACTGAATCTAGCAGTGTTCCACCTTAACGGTGAACTCAGTGAACGGAACAAGAACTTATAGGAAGCTTTTATATCTGGGTATGAAAAGAGGTTGATTGTGTGGTTGACGACTTAATGCTTTTTATTGTCATTGCATCATTTTTGTAACATTGGTACTTACTAGTATAAGAAAAGGCGGAGTTTGTATGATTGCAAGTAACAAGGCAATTTGTGTAACTGGAACACTGCAGTTTTCTGTGACTGTACATATTGAAAATAAGTATATTTAAATGGTGTTCTTAATATATAACTATTTACTTATTTCAGGACAGGGCAATACAAAAAATTGCCCAAGTGTTACGTATTGAAGCAAATGAAAACAATATAATGAACATGTGCATTAAATTCCGACAAGAGATTCTACTTTTGGTAATTAGTTTTTTTTTTAATAATGTACATATAATTATCTTATTGCTGTACTGCCAGCAATAACATCTTTTGCACAATTTGGCTGAGTTGACAGGTGGAATACCTTGGCGATACAGAAGACATGTTTTAAATGGAAGTAATTCCACATACAGTCTGATAAGTGTACATTCCAGAAGCCCAATATTAGGTTTTTTCCCTTTACATCATTATCTTGTAAGGAAAGGATGGGAAGGGGAAATATTTTCTGAGTGTCGCCTTTGCCATTAGTTAAAGGCAGGTAATGCATCTGCAAATACAGATATCTATGTGCAGCGGTCGCTTCGCCATTTCGGCGAATTCAGTTCGCTCGTTTTGAAATAATATATTAATATGAGTATATTTAACTAACAAGAGTTGTTTTAGTTTTATTTATGATTACCAGTTGAGATGTGTGGTGAGGCAATGTTTCTTGATCGGATGGGATATGAAGGAGAAATGGCAGATGGATTTTGCCCTACTGCTGATGCCACCGTGGCTGCGCACTGTGGAAATGGAACTTGTGATGTTGCCGCAGGCTGTTTTGGTGATTATCTTAATTCCTTAACAAATCTAATCTACTTATTTTATGTTTTTAGTTTTTTTTATTCACAAATATATATTTCTATGAAGAAATTCAAATTTGTTGTTAAGTCAAGTGTCCCGCACTAGGTTAGTGTGGTTGTTTGCTGTCTAATGACCCTTTGTGTAGGCACTAAGACCATGCCTGGGCTTTTGACTGATTATGGATCTTGTCCAGATGGAGTGCGTGGCGGTGACGGCGGAGACGGCGGTCACCACCAGGTTCAAAGTGCTGCTGGAGGAGGGCGGCTCTGTCGTGTTCCCGCGATGGGACACCTTTGATGCTGGGGACTTCAAAAAAGTCTCCGCGTATTATAACATCAGCAGAACTGAAGCTCGGGATGTTTGGTTCGTATCGCTCGATGGATTACTAAACTAGCTATCGCCTGCGATTCTTAATTAGTAATCCATGTGTTCTTCCTGACTATGTTCTACATCTATGCCAAATTTCAAAGAGATCTCTACTGCCGTTCTGGTTATACCTTCCAACAAACATCCATCCATACATCCAAACATTCGCATTTATAATACTAATAAGATAATTATTTTAACATATCTTAGTACTATGGTATAGTTTCCCTACCTTCAAAGGACAGAAGAGGATATAGACAGAGGAAATTTCCGTTTCATTAGAGTCCCCTCCCTTTCCCATAAATAGAAAGTAAGTAGGACAAGGAAGAGGATTAGAACATGGCCGATCGACAAGCTGACAAGAAATTTGACATCAATAAGAAAAGTTTACCCTTAACCCAGAGAGTTTGGCAGAGACTGTGGAGGTCCCATTTGGCACGCTCCTGACACACTTTTCTCCCTTCTTCTACATTCATGTATACATCTCGGTTTGCTCTTAATAACTTTTGTGATGGCCTCGACAATCTGGAAGATGTTTGAAGGCAAATATTTGTGATGTCAGGAGTGGCATGTGCTCGAAGTCAAGGCAGCGCATCATGCAGGAGGTGCAGTGCCGGGAGGGCAGCCGTGAGGTCAACTTTGAGGTGACAGACCTCCTGCTGCTGCATGACCTCACCTTCAGGCTTGTCACACCGGTGAGCTTTACTTGTCCACTGCAGGGGCAGATAGCAAACATTATAGCAAACTGAGTAAACTAAAACATAATAGTGTTGTTATTGACATTATGAACACGTCAGTGGCTCAGGGGTTGATTGATTTGTAATCTACAGGTCTTGGGTTCGAATCCCGCCATATACCAATGTGTTTTTCTATTTTCGATTTACATGTGTTATCTGACGTTCTTATGGTGAAGGAAAACATTGTGATGCAACCTGCACATATCTGTGAAGAAATTCAAAGATATATGTTAAGTCAACCCGCACTTAGCCAGCATTGACTATGGCCTAATCACAGACTTAGGGTAGTCTCTGAGTCCCTCAGTGAGCATGTATAGTGAGAGAGTGCGATGTTTCATACCTTATTATATAAAATCCTATATATTCTAGGAAAGTTTGTCAAAACCGAAGCAACTACAAAAATTAACAACATTGTATCAATGTGTACTGAAGAGGAATGTGGAGAATGTACTGAGGAATGAACGTCCCCGGCTGCTGGAGGTGTGGATGCAGGTCCTGGCTGAGTATCCTTTCAGGTAACCAGTGTACCGAATAGTTTATTCAACTAATAAACAAGACATGATTCCATAAAATACAAATCTGATTATAGTATACTAGCTGTCGCCCGCGACTCCGTACGCGCGGAATTACAAAAAACTAGTTAGCCTATGTGTTCTTCCAAACTATGTTCTACATTTATGACAAATTTCATACATCTATCCATCCATACATCCAAATATTTGCATTTATAGTAGTTAATTATCTACAGAAATTCTACTAATATGATAAACCTAAATGTTTGGTTGGATGGATGTTTATTAGAAGGTATTTCCAGAACGGCTGTATGGATCTCGCTGAAATTTGTCCTACATATAGAACATAGTTTGGAAGAACACATAGGCTACTTATTAAGTTTTTTTTTAATCAGCTCAGAGAAAATTTAGTAAAGATATTGTTATTTGCAGCATGGGGTTCTCATCAGTGGTATACATCCAGCGGCAGTGGTACGAGCTGAAGCAGTTGGCGCGCAGCGAGGTGCTGGCCTTCCACCTGCAGCAGCCTCGCCCTCACCACCACCCCCACCCCCTGCTGCTCTCCATCGTCGCCAAGTTTGTTCATATATAGTTCAAGAGAGGGTAGACACAGATCTACTGGTTTACTTTTTACATTGGAACATTTTTGACATTTGAACAAAAAAAAAATATAAATAAATTACCGTAATTAGACCATTCTTTAAGTATATAATACTTGTGACAGAATTTATTTTATATTATTTAATATAACTTACAAGTAAATAATGGTCTTGACAGACAGACGGACAACAAAGTAATCCTACAAGGGTTCCTATGAGGTACGGAACCCTAAAAAAATTATGATTTTGTAAAAAAAAACTCCATACATTTTTTTATTATTTTTTGGATGGATGATTTTTTTAATTAGTGTAGTAATTATTGTATCGTATTTTGTCCAGTTTCAGACATATCGTTCAAGAACCATTACCAAAATGGAGTGAATTCGTTACATCCAAGATGGTTGTAAAATTCAAGGTATGGAATGAAACAATTTTCTTTAATTTGATTTATGATCTGACGAGGCTTATAATCTATCGCCAAATTGTGAACTGATAGGTTCTTTTATATTTCAACATATTACTATTCGTAATTATTACTGTAGCATTCGTTGCGTTATATTTGGCTCATTCACGTACCGACACGTGCTACCGGTCCAAAGGTCTAACATCGACTGACGTCCCCTCTGTACTTACGGCGTGTACGCTCGAGACAAACAACACCACGTTTATGCATACACTACACTTACTAAATACCTAATTATAAATGCAAATGTATGGATGGATGTATAGATATATGTTTGAAGATATCTCCAGAACGACTGCAAGAACATAGTCTGGAAGAACACATATACAACTAATTTTGTTTTTTTTTAATTCCGTGCGGACAAAGTCGCGGGCGACAACTCTATTATTATAATAACAATCATCCAGATAAAATTTGATAGATTTTATATACCTCGTCAGATTATAAATTGACGTTGTTAAACATTAATTTTTTTTCTTTTAGGATATTACTAAGACGTTGTCTAAGAAAGTTCTGGAAGGATGGATGGATGAATTAATCAAAGCTACAGAGCAATCAGGCAAGTCTGTTTCCATTGAAGAAACATTTGTATTAAAACATGTTTCTTACAATCTAATTTTTTTTTACAGGAATACAAAATAAATCCTTACAAAAACATATTTGTATCGTACAACCTTTAAATAGTAATAAAAATATAATTAAAATAAATAAAGAAACGCAGACAAATACTATAGAAAGTAACAAGTTAATGGAAAATACAAGTAATGAAAATAACATAATAAATCAAAATATAAAAGATAAAGAATCTGAAAATCTTAATAAATCCGATTTAAATATAGATAATATGAATGAATGTGTTGCCAGTATACATTCCAGTGTTGCCAACAAGATAAATGTTGAAGGAAATATAGATTTCAATGTATTCAATAATATTGACCCAACTAAAGCGAAAAAATGCTTTATATTCGACAGTGATTCGGATTCTGAAACCCTCAGCGCAATATCACTGAATGAAACTGACAGACAAACTTTTCAAACGGAATTAAATTCAGACATGTCACAAACTTCTGAAGACTCTAAAGTACTTGATTGGTTCAAAGAAAATGGTGAAAAATCGAAGCAAATTAAAGAAAATTTACAATCGAAAATAGGTAAAAATACAGAATACAAATATGTTATTATTTAAACATTAACTGTGTGTTTCTGAGACCAAAATCTCTGTATAAAGTAATCATCCTTGTCATTACCTTTGACAAAACAGTGATAACAATCTTACTAATGCAAATGTTTGGATGGATGGATGTTTGAAGGTATCTCCAGAACGGGATTTGGCATAGATATAGATCAGTCTTTCCCAAAGTGTGCGATAACGCCCCCTTGTGGGCGCTGCAGGTCTCAAGTTGCGGGTTATAGTCAAAGTTTCATTTACGATTCTCCGTTAATATACATATATAGGTCACAATAATTAATTAATTTAATTTGAAGTTATAGTGGTTTTTAAATATGTGAAAATATGGGGGCGCTAAAAAAATATTTATTCTCAAAGTGGGCAGTAGACAAAATAAGTTTGGGAACCACTGCTCTGAAACATAGTCTGTAAGAACACATAGGCTACAAATGTTTGTTTTAACTCGGCGCAGACGGAGTTGCGAGCGACTGCTAGTGTGTTTTATACATGGATTTCGGTCTCAAAAACCCACAGTTAATTTGTTTTTTAAATATGTTCTTTCTCTTTCAGATCCTAAATTAAGGAAAGAGATAACAATACCATTAATCAGATGCGATGAAATTCCCGCTTGGAAAAAATATTACAAAAACAATACTATAAATATAAACAATATAAAAAATGAATTGTGTTCTTTAAAATGTAAAAATAAAAAAATAAACACAACAAAAATATTAAAAAGACAAACAAGGAGTAATAATTCTATTTATTATGATTTAAATATAAATTGTGAAGGTTTATCTGAGAATTTTCTAAGAAATAATAAAAATAAATTATTATTTAAATTATGCAAACGATTGTCAGTAAATTTACAGCGATTTACGCACAAACAGAGGACATTGTGCAGGAGAAGAAAGAAAATACAATTAACAGATATAGAAGAAGTCAGGAAAATAAATAGTACTATCCTGACGGCAGAAGTAGCTCCTGTCTCCGTAAGTAATGGCTTTATCTATTCTTTCCAGGAAATAACTGGTACAGGATTGTACTAATTATCTGTATAGCCTGACCAGGAATATAGAAAACTTTATCATATTTTAGAATACAAAGTGTTAAAATTGAAAATTTTGGATAGTAAAAAAAAATTTTTTTTGATAGTGAAAAAATTTTTTTTTTACAGGCAAAATTTTTTTTACTCGTCATTTTTTGTTTTCAGATTACCAAATGTGATCCACCATCTGAAGGTATGTATACATTTTAAGTTTAGATGTGCCAATATAACATTCTTGACTTTATGACTATGACACATCATATGACTCGAATGACACTGAAATTGTCAAAATTTGGTCATTTTACCCATATACATTGAGTTAGGTAAAAATTATAAAATAGTAGTAATAATATTTAATTTATTTCAAATAATATTACTTATGTACTTTTATTGGCTTAATATTACATAAGTTTTATTTTATTTTTATAATTACAACTAGCGGACCCGACAGACGTTGTCCTGTCTACACGTCTTTAATTTGAATAAATTAATATGAAGTTAATATTTGATGAAAATTGTGAATCTAAACCATTCCCAGATCCCCTTGAACACACACAAAAAAATTCATCAAAATCGGTCCAGTCGTTTGAGAGAAGTTCAGTGACATACACACTCACAGAAGAATTATATATATAAAGATATAACACACACACACACACACTAAACAAATGTATATATGTTTTTTTTAGTTAATAGCTATTTTTTTTCAGGGGATTTTGGTATTTTAAGTGACGAGTCAATGATAGAAGTAACAAATGATAATGTTATCGATGCTTTAGAACTTGATGAACTCTTCAACAAACTGCCGGTAAGTTAAATAAATATAAATCAAACTAATATATGCGAATGTTTGGATGTATGGATGGATAAATGATTTCTAGAAGGTATCTTCAGAAGGACTGCATGGATATCAATGAAATTTGGCATATATGTAGAACATACAATTTTTTCTTAATTCAGCGCAGACGGGGTCGCAGGTTAAGCTAGTGTTATACAGGCTCCAGGCTACAAACATTATACTATATTTATGGTAATTCTATGTAAAGCGTAGAAGATGACAGACATACATCTTCTTCTTCTTCTCAGCCATGAGACATACATCTAAACATTCGCATTTATGATATTAGTAAGAAATAATTGTTTTTTTTTTGAAGTTGAAAAAATAATTTGCTAGAGATCTTGTATTTTCAGGTACCATCTTTGACTTCTATAAATCTAGACAAACCAACGGAAACGACGAATATTGCGACGTATGTTTTTTTATTTTTATTAATTAAATATATGACAGGGTTATTTATACTACTTTAAAAAGTATATTATTAGATGACATATAAGGGTTATAAAACCCTTGTTCCACTGTGGAACTGTACAATTTTTTTATAATTTATATTGTAACGTAATCACGAGAGCGGTGATAAAAAATAAGTAATTATGTACAAATTAGTGGTCGCTTACGGCTATTTTCTCAGTGGAAAAAGGGTCTAAGAAATTCCTTTATTTTATCTTTTCAGAGGTCATGATAATATTAATTCTGAACAAAATAAAACAAACACAAAAGAAGAGAATTACGAAGATCTTAACAAAAAAATTTTATACATCATTATGAACGGTCCTGTAAGTATTATTTTTCTTTATTTATGTAACAGTTAAATTTAACAGTGGTAGAGCCCGCTTTAACATCTTCGCACGAATTGTCCCGGCCTGCCCGGTGAAATACCACGACCACAAAGAAGACACGCGTCAAGTGGAAACAATTCCGCGTGCAGTCTGATGAGTGTACGCCCCGGACGCCTAATTTAGTCCTCTTTCCCTTCCCACCCTTTTTCATCTAAGGAATGGATGGGAAGTGGACTTTCCGGATGAGAGGGTGCATGGGAAGGGAAAATATTTTCTTTCTGTGCATCCTCTCCTCCGTCAATTAAAGGTAGGCAACGCATATGCAATTGCGTATGTCTATGAGCAACGGTCACTCGCTCGTTTGCCACCTTATGATATAAAATAAATCAATAATTTAAATTCATAAGTTCAATATTTTATCTTAAATCACTTAAGCATTGTTTTAAATAATTGTTCCCAGAGACCAAACAAAATCCCTAACAAACCCAAGTCACCGGTGACGACAGTACAGCATTCCAGCGACAGTACCGTAAAACTGTGCTCAATCAATGAGAAAAGAAAAAAAAGACAAAATCCAGAAAAAAAAACACACAATCAAACGAAAAAGAAAAGAAAAAGAAAATCAAAAAATCCAACTACCGACGTTGAGACAAAATCCGATAATGCATTTGAAGAATGGGACAGACAGAAGAATATGAACAAGAAATATTTTCAATTGCCAAATATTGCACCAAAACCTGCATATAGTACAAAATCGAATAATACACCAAAAGACGACATATCACTACCAACCGAGAACACATATATAAATAAATATATCATTTCTATAAATAAAAAAAAACCCACACTTCCCACAAGTGATCCAAAACCCATAATCGATCTAACCAACGATTCGGATGACACACAATTCGATAGTGGTACCACACCTATAATAACAAGTGTATACTCATTAGCAACACAAAACAAACAAGTTGAACGACCGTCGAGGGTGATAACACCAATTTTAATACCACAAAATAATATAAATACAGATTTAGCTACGATAACTAAAGTGCAAAGTAATGTGGGTAGTCTGATAATACAGAATACAAGTGATGGGAGTGCATTAGTGCCTGTAAGTGTAGCCGGGCAACAGATCTACGTGCAGCAGTCTGCGCAGGCGCAGTGTACCACTGATGCTGCAGGTAAGAGATGCGATACTTAGTATTGTTAGGAAGAAAATCCGACACTGTCGGTGTACTGGCGCAACACTAGCCTTACTAAAATATCGATGTTTATGTCCCCTCACTATTCATTCTGACACTAGACTTTGTAACGAAAGCGCGTTACCTGTAATGTATGCATACATGTAGTGTTGTCTCGAGTACATGTCGAAAGAGGGGGGCGTCCGTCGATGTTAGACCTTTGGACCGGTAGCAAGTGTCAGTACGTGAACGAGCCAAATATAACGCAACGAATGCTACAGCGCCAAAGGATTCTATTTAATAATGTCTAAAATAACATACAAACATGGTTCTTATATCAAAGATTTAATGAAAATTGATACAATATTTTCAGGTCGTCGCTTTTTAATACTACCAAAGTCGCAATTATTGAACGGCAACTCGTCCCTGTTGTTGCCTAAGGTAAAGATTGGAAACGCATCCCTCACATGCAATCCTGTCGACCATATACAGAAGATGATAGCCCCTACACAAGGTATGTTATGTCATTTACTAGCTGTCGCCCACGACTCCGTCCGCATAATATAAAAAAAGTGTGTTCTTTCAGAGTTAGTTGTACTTGGCAAATTTCAACGAGATCCATATAGCGATTCTTGAGATACCATCGAACAAACATCCATCCATACATTCGCATTTATAATATCAAAATGTATTTTCCTTTTTAAAATTTGATTAAAGAAGACGCTCAAATTATAATTAATTTTTCTCTATTGTTTAGTTTTTTTTAAATGTACCCTCGGTCTGTCACATTTTGATTTTAAGAAGTATGAAATAAGCAAAAATTATCAATTGTAATAAAATATTAATTGCCTTACCGTGGGTTTCTGAGCCACGAGTTTCCGTTTTAAACATAATTTCATACGAATGACGATATGTTTTATACTGTGATTTTGATCTCGGACACCCATGGTTAGTTATGTTTTTACTTTGCTTTGTAAAAAAAATGATATAAAACATTTGAATTTCCTTTACCTGCTATAGGAATCGAATCGGAACCCCAACCTTTGTCATTAATGCCATGGGTCCCATTGGACCTGTGGGCGCAAGGTAAATCTGTCAAGGAACTGGTTCTATTACAAATAGACGCATCAAAACCTGCCTGGACGTTGACTGGTGGTCAGGCTGTTGTTACACTCACAGACTATACGTGCGAATCACCAATTTATTGCAGCCTGCCTGCAGAATTAAAAACTAGGTAAGTTTTTGTTGAATTTGTTACATAAAAACACAATTTTTAGCGTTTCTTATCTCTAAAGGTAAAAACGGAATCCTTATAGGACTTTGTTGTCCGTCCGTCTGTTTGTCAGGACCCTTTTTTAATTATAAAAATCCTAAAACTTTGTATTTTATAGACACGAAAAATATTTTTTAAATATCGTTATAATATTAATAAGATATATGAAGGATATATTTATTACAGAATAATGTTCCCACAAGAAAACAACGGTATGGAGGTGTACAATCCTCCTACTTTGCAAATATACGAGGATGCTGCAAACGGAACTACATCATTCGCTAAATGGGTTAAATCAGTCATAGACAATACTGAAAATGAGTTTACAGATGACACAGAGACCATAGACACATGTGAAAATAGACCTGTCTCTAGGATAAAAGTGAAATCATTCGCCAGATTGACGAAAAATGATAACTTCATAGCACCGTGTCGAGTTTGTTTGCAGGATCGATTGTATATGAAAGTTTCAGAACGACCACTAAAATATGCCAAGGTGAGTGATACATTATGGCAAACTAGCTGTCGCCTGCGACTCTGTCCGCGCGTAATTAAAAAAACAATTTAGTAGCTTATGTGTTCTTCCAGACTATGTTCTATATGTATGCCCCAAATTTCAGCAAGATATGTCCAGCCGTTCTGCAGATACCTTCAAACAAATATCCATCCATCCATCTAAACATTCGCATTATAATATTAGTAATATCGTAATTACGAGATTGTATACAACACAATTTTAGATAAAGGTAAGACTTAATAATCTGTGGATGGAAAAAAACGCGTTTTTCATAAATTTTTTTAGACAATTTTAAAAAACAAATAGTTTTGTCTTTTTTACTTTAATCGATTTTATATTAAACAAATTTTATATTTAAATACTGTTTCACTTCAAGTGAAATTTATCTTTCCATTGCTTGTATAATTTATAATAAAATTACGTCCACTCTAAAACTAATTACGATCTGTTTCATTCACCAGGTTATAACAGCTGTGCCGAGTTTAGAAGAATTTCATAATTTAGTATCAGGAAACGCACCATTAAAGTTATTACCAAAAAATATGACATCTTTTGATTCATTACAAACAGTAAACTTGCGTTCTTGAGTTTTTAAACAAATCTTAGTGGCATTCAACGTGTTAACTCATTCTTTTAACAATAGAAATCAACCTTTAGAGTCCGTACACATAGACCCGGGCGGAGAGTACAGCAAATTTTTATCTCAAAGTAACTGTCGCCCGCGACTCCGTCCGCGCGTAATAAAAAAAAAACATAATTTTTATTCTATGTGTTCTTCTAGACTATGTTTTACATCTATGCCAAGTTTCAGCGAGATTTTTTCTCGCCTTTTACACCTTCCCTAGACATCCACGAACATTTCAAGACCAAGATAAGATAATTCCGTTTAGCTGACGAATTTTAGCGAGACTAACCAACAGAAATTTATTTTTATATATTCAAGACAAAAACTTTATGTGATTAAAACAAAGTTTAATTTTACTTTGCACGTTTATTTAAAGTGTTCTTGATATGTAAAGTTATTTTAAACCTCTTGTCTATTGTATAGAGCTCAATTTTGTTTGGGATAAAAATCTGCTCTACTCTCCGCCCCGGTATATATAAACTGACTCTTAGAGTAGAAAAGTAAACTGAAATAATGTACATAGTCAAGTTTTTTTATGCTTAGAGAATAGTAAATAAAGTTAAAAATAAATATAATTTAGATGTATATCATCATCAGCTCACTATACGTCTAGGTCTAGTCAACCACGCTGGCTAAGTGCGGGTTGGTTGACTTCACACATATCTTTGAATTTCTTCTCAGATATGTGCAGGTTGCATGATGCATATAAGCTGTTCTAATATTTAAGATAATTTGTTTAACTTTTTTATATTTTACGATATAAAATTGTTATATATTCATGTTTTTGTTCATGAAATAATTGTTACATATTTACTATAAAATATGATCAAGCCTTTATTAATAGGATTATTGTAGAAATATTCTAGTTATTATATGTATTAGAATCTCTCTAAGATATATCTTGTTCTGTAAGTTCCATAAAATGTGTTTTATATTAGTTAAGTTTTACTATCTTTTTATAAAGAGTCGTTCAAATATCACGGTATGTTTTTAGGAAATTTAAGACTTTCTCTCTAGCGAAATGTGGTGAGATTTTAAATCTAACATGAAACTAAAATCACTTAAAAAGTAATATTGAAATCGCCAAAATATTATTGATTTATTTATTAAATATCATTAGACAAAAAATACACGTGATATTTTTGATTCCACTCGTGATGTTTTGTGATTTCTTCGAAATCCGCCTCTCTTTCCAGCCTCACGTGATTGGACGATTCCTAACTTACATATCTTTGTTACATCTCTACAAAAATACCTCTATAGTTATATATGTCCTGTATAAAACATGTTCAAATCTCATAAGAGTAAACTGTCCGACCACAGGTACTTTGTATCGATTGAAAGGCCAACTGTGGGTTTCTGAGACCCAAATCCACGGTTTAAATCATGTTGTCTCTGCTTTATCAAAGATGGCTATAATTTTTTTGGTCTCAGAAACCGACGGTAAATGAAGTATTACCGAATGTCGAATTCCATCACTTATTTTGTAAATCATCATCATCAGCTCACTATACGTCCCCACCGAGGGGCTCGGAGCCTACCCTAAGTTAAGGGTGATTAGGCCATAGTCAACCACGCTAGCCAAGTGCGGGTTGGTTGACTTCACACATATCTTTGAATTTCTTCTCAGATATGTCCAGGTTGCATCACGATGTTTTCCTTCACTGTAAGAACATCGATTAAATGTACATATGTAAATCGGAAATGGGAAAACATATGGTACACGGCGGGATTCGAACCCTGCACCTGCAGATTGCAAGTCGAGTGCTTGACTCCTGAGCCACCGACGAGTCGAACGACTTTTTAAATATTGTGATATAAATTGAAGTGATATTGTAAAAAATGGTTGCTAATACTTTAATGTTATTTAAGAAAAGCTGATTTACTCGAAATATTTTGATATTTACGCGTTTCATCGTAAACTGTAGTTTGTGTGTTCAATTTTGTGTTGAATCATATTGTTGATGTATTCATCTGTTTAAACTAACGTTAGTGTTTCTTTATGTGTATTGAAAGTTCAGATTTACTTATAGTAATTATTTTTAATCGGTTTATACTAAACCATTTGTGAGTATTTTTAGAATTAAAACTTTGTTACAATTAAATTTATATCGTTATTAAAATATTAATTACAAATAAAACTACTTATAGTAATTAATTGGTTTTATTTCTCACAAAACAAATTATAAAATAACAATAATATAAAAAACTTATTACTGCCTACCCCTCTCTGTTATAACCTTTAAGTTTATCATTCAGAAACACCTACATAAATTGTCAATATTAAGCATACATAAATTTAAATAATAATTATAAAACAATCTTGTTTTTAAAATGTTTCGTAAAAGACGTGTTTGCGTCACGTACAAATATCTGCCGTGTGCCGGTAAACTGAATTTGCAAGCAATCTCCTACATCTCCCCGCGGCGCTAAAACTCCTTTTTACAATGTCTCTATAAAACGTGGACAACTAAATAACACTACGAAGTAATTTATATGCAAAAAATATATGTCATGCTTTTATAAAAACGGAACGTACTCAATTATCTTAAGTTCAAATCTAATGGGAAGTTATTCAAAATCTGCTAGCTAGCTATAAGTTAAAACTAAACTAAACTATTAATTAGTACTGCAGCTTCCCAAAAACTTTTTTTATATGTGGCAAACGGCTACCTAATTTAGCTAAAATAGTGCCAACTGCTAACCATAAACATTCGCAAATGCAGATGTGTTGCGTAGGTTTAATCGACGGAGAAGGGGACAAAAATTTTCCCTTTTTATACGTCCTTTCCTCCTTCAAATCCACTTCCCCTTTCTATACTTTCCTTATAAGAAAATGGAACTTTAAAAATGGTCGAATAAATATATATTTTAATAACTTACGTCTTAAAAGGCCAACGTTATAATTTTCCGTGCTATTTCTACATTACTTCGTATATGTAATGCGCTATGTCTGGCCGATCACCTGTGTCCTGACTTCTATCCACGTTCGCAGACGATGTGTCATTTTGAAAGATCTCTTATAGCCCTGCTTGTGACACATAAATATAAAAGATCTAATGTATCATGACGTTAAATAACAAATAACCTAGAATAGAATAGAAATGAAACTTCCACAATTACAATGATACATCGTCAAAATGTTAAAATAACTGAGTAATGGAGGCTGTATTATGTTACTAATTTATAAATGCGAATGTTTAGATCGATGGATGTATGTTTGTTTGAAGGTATCTCCAGAACGGCTAAACGTATCTTACTTACGCTGTTTGGCATAGATGTAAAAAAATAATCTTGTAAGCACATACACTACTAATTAAGTTATTTTTAATTCTCCGCGGACGCAGTCGCGGGCGACCGCAAGTTATACAAATATTTTAAATGCGAATGTTTAGATGGATGTTTGTTAGAAGGTATCTCTAGAACGACTGCATCGATCTCGCTGAAATTTGGTATAGATCGAACATGTAGATTAAGTTTTCTTTAATCCCATACATATTTTTAATTATAACACTTGTTGCATTATTATTAATATTTGATTATTTTATTCTTTGTTACACTTAAGTGTGTTAATACATAATTTGTAGGATCTTGTTTTTATGCAGAAATGATAAAAGAAACAAAGACTAGTATTGGGTGTCTGGCATTAGTAAATATTGTACGTATCACAGTAGAGTCTTCGAGTCAAATCTATTCTCGAGAAAAAAAGATATTCCAATTTAAAAATGTATTTATTATCAGTTTTAAATTTAAATCAAATGTTCGTCAACTTAATGGTTTGCTATTTAAAAGTAAAAGCATAAATTCTTTTATATATTTGATTGCTTCATGAAATGTCAATATTTTTTTTAACGTGGGCTTTCATTTAATTTGTCTCAATAAAGCGGACACTCAAATCTCAAATAGATGGGACTATTATTGTTTTATGTGACTATACAAGCGCCCTAGGGAGATAGACAGGGTGTCACTTACACCGTTATTTCTCAGATAAATTAAAAAGACTATTTTACATGTTTGAAATATACAATTAAAATCTATAATCATTTAGTATTATTTTCTAAGTTAGTTTAGGATATTATAAATATTTATAACTTTACGCAATAAATAAGAGAACGCGCTGCCTCCTGAAACACAGTTTCAACTGGTTCCAGAGAATGCCCACAAAATTTCGTGAAAAATGATTTTTCTTTGCCCAATAAAGAATTTTTATTTTATTTTTATCTATGTTTTTGTTAAATAAACAGTATTTTACTAAATAAGTTTGTCGCTGCGATATATATTTGAAATTATATTTTTTGTATGTAGAAAAAATTCATTTCTTTTTTCATTTCATATTTTTCATCATCATACTTAAACTTAACATCATATTTAAAATATATAACAACTTGAGCATACAATATTTCTTAGCTATGTTATATACCTTTAAGGTATATTTTGTAAGTTATTCGCTACGGTGTGAGTAGTTGCCGCGTCAAAGAGTTTGTCCTTTGCTTAAATATTTCCATTGTATGTTTGTACTTGAGTTGCCGCCAGAGGGCAGGACAAATACACTTTAAGGATAATTTCTTGCTCCCAAATATACTATCTACGAATATCGTGTAACCGATTACATAAATGTTTCCTATTTGCTTTGAATCAACAATACATTATTACTATATAAGTACATATAGTAACTATATAGTAGACTAATATCCCATTATCTTTAAATTGTCATTACAGCAATACTAGGACTTCAGTAAGGGACCCTAATAGGTCGAACCTAACCACACTAGCGTAGGAACCCAACCAGAACTTACTCTTTGAATTCTTAATAATATATTACTAAGTATTAAATTAAAAAATGTCATAGTACATTGTGACTTTCTGGTAAAGATGTTGGAGCAAATTAGTAAAGCATTATCTAATCATCACCATGGTGATTATATTCGCCCTTAATTTAAGATCTGTACGTACATCACTGTCCCCTACATGCATATATTTGTTTAGAACTTCCTCAATTGTATATGAATACCAGCTTAATAGTTTGTGAGCGGATGTAAGACATAAAAAGTTCCAGCAGAGAGTTTCATCAGCCTCCTTAAATGTATGGAACTGGGATATTTCGATATGTCGATCTTATTACGTATTTAATTCTATACATATTGACACATATTGATGATTCTCTCAGCTGCAGAACTACAAAGTTATCTGACGCGATGGGCGTAAGTGCAACTAAATTATGACAGCTCACTAGCGCCACCTAGTGTCAAAAGATCTTTGTCCTACTATAGCTATATTTTCTTTGCCTATGTTACTTTTATATATTTTCTTACATAACTAACCCAGATACTAGCGCCTTTCTTACCTTCCCAGTTATGTTTGTCTGACTATATATCGCTTATTGAGTGACTTTGTCGAGGAGATTTTTTTTTATTTTTATATCATAAGATGGCAAACGAGCGATCGGCCACCTGAAATCGCTGTAATAGCGAAGTGACCGTCGCCCATAGACATACGCAATAGCATATGCGTTGCCTACCTTTCATCGACGGAGGAGAGGATGCACAGAAAGAAAATATCTTCCCTTTCCATGAATCCTCTCATCCGGAAAGTCCACTTCGTGCGAAGTCAATTCGTGCGAAGGTGTTAAAGCGGGCTCTACCACTGTTTAGAATGGTTTAGGGAAAAAATTACAACTGAAGTTATTTCCATTTATTTTCAGAACCATTATAATGTTACTATAAATATTATAATTAAGTGACTAGTACTGACAACTTGATGCACAAATCTTTATAAAATAAATTATAAAATTACAAACGTCTATAAAACGGTACATCTTTTTTATACTCTGTATGGGTTTCTATTTTGTTGGAAATTGCAAATATAGTGTTCCTTTTTTATTGTACTTTAATTAGACAGAGATAGATATATTTCAATAGCAGTGGAGTTTACCGTAATGAAGTCAAAAAGATGAAAATACTCTAAAATTTTTACATCAAGTCATTGCACGAATCAGGTTTCCAGCCTTAACCCGATTCGTACGATATTTTTGTACCCCCACATTTAAATAATGGTTTATAAAATATGTAAGGGTACAAAAGAAGGGTAGCTTTTATTACTATTATTTAATCCTGTCTGTCCGTTCTATCATCTTCTACAGTGTTATTATTAATAGAATATTATTTTAATATATTATATTGATTCATTTCCAGTCTGTTCGGTGTGCGATGTGGGTCGTGTTTGAGATATAGCATTATTCTTTGTAGTCCATTTTCTCAGCTGGCTCTTGGTCTATTCTGTAACAACCAAATTTTTAAACATTTTACAATAATATTAGCGCTTATTTGCATTCTAATTGTTAAGGAATTTTTGACACCAGTTTAGAGCTCGGCACATTATAAAAGTGTTAGTTGACACGCCAAAAAAATGTGTATATTACCCTCTAAGCTCAGTTCTCATATTATTATTAGTGTTATTACTGAAAATAAAATTAAATGGAAATACATGAATACCTCTATCTACCTTGTGCTTGCTCAAGTTGAGATAAAGAGGATTAATGATATTCATCTATCTTCTTACATTCCCTTCAACTGTGGAGATAAAATACTTACCTGTTGTACAAAGATTTCGAAGGATGTTGTAGTAGGGAACAGAGCGGTGCGAACACTTGCAGTTCACATAAACGGACAATGTTACGCCATGTTACATCGTGCGATGTTACATCTTGTGCCGTCACATCTTGCGATGTAACATCGCGCCATGTTACATCTTGCGGGGTCAGAATGCGCACGGCCGGTTCCGACCGCTTGCCATATCTACTGCCCATGAAGAACCTGCGAAGATTGAATTACATGTAAACAAAGTGCTACGAATTTCGTAGACTAGACGCGTAGAAGCTATTATGAACTGTCTCTAACCCTATCCTACTGAAACAATTATCATTATCGTACTACGGATCTTTTTGAATGTGGCTCTACTGAAATCATTCAACATGCATTTATGTTGGTCAAAAGATTCTACGACTAAAATTATTAGTACAATTATTTAGATATGTCACCTGTCGTTGCGTGGTGCTATCATGCGCGGTGAGGAGCGGCCGTAGCGTGAGCCCAGCACGAAGGGAGCCGTCGCCACTAGCGGCAGAAACGGTTACAAATTATTTTATAGATTTTATACAGCCTTTCAGATTGAAGTCTCGACTGATTTAAAAGTACAAATAGTTGTTATAAATGTACTTACATTCAGCACGTTTGTAATTATCAGTGCGCGCGAGTGCCGCGCACAGTAGCGCCAACGCGCACGCGCACCTCCACATTCCGCTGTCGTCTGCTTCAGTACCCGCTGTAACTCGCGCTACACACGCAATGTGCAATTCTTGTATTGGAAATTCTTACCTAAAATTATATTACATATGTTATACATTCAAAACGAACATAAAAGTTGCTGGCAATGTATAAAAAGAAAATTAAAACGTAAATATTTTTTAATTTGTACAATAGGTTAATCTGAACAGCAAGACATTGTTTAACTTAACATGTCTTGTAACCCTTTGAACCCGCCGATAAAAAGGTTGACATGATAAGCTAAAATATCATTGAAACACTGTCCAAGTTTTATGGTTAGGTCCTAAATGTCTATGAATACGTTGAAGATTCATATTATAGTGTATACTGTCGTTCATAATTACAATTGGTTTACGTTAACAAATAAAATTACGAAAGGACTCAATGAGAAAAAGTTTATTCAACTGTTTAACCGAATCATCACAAAAGCTGAAACTTTTTCACAACTAACGAGTATGAATATAAATATATAACAAAGGTATCGGATGTAACATGATTATTGTATTATAAACTTTACAAACAAAACAAACTTAACTTTGAGAATACGTAAGTTAATTAACATATTAGGTTATTTTTAAATTGGATTAGTTGTTCATAAAATTAATAGCAAATATTGTACATCGCTTTGTCAGTTCGTCGTTAACTTAACTTTTGTTTGATTCACTTTTTTCGCATTTTAATATGTTTATAATTAGCATTTTATTCACCTCATCCGAGAACTAACGACCTAAGCAAACAAATATTTAAATTAGTTTTAAATTAATTCATACTAAAACATTATTTTTTAAAACAAACTATTTACATTTATAAATACTTAATTACTTGTTGTATTTTTTTATATTAGAAGGTGGCAAATGAGGAAATGTCCACCCGAAGTATCTGCCCATAGGCATCCACAACGAGTTTAGAGTTGCATATCGTAAAAGCAGAAAGGAGGGAACCTATAGAAAGAGGATATATTCCCCTTTTTGTATTCTTCCTCACCAAATCCTCTTTCCATCCTATCCTTAGGAGAAATGGGTGGTAAACGAATGTGGCCTCCCGCACATTTTTCAAACGAAACGTGACAGTAAATCTACTTCTCTCCTGAAGATAGGCTTCTGTGTAGTTGTAATGGCAGTATACCGGTCGAGTGGAGACATTCATGCAGCAGCAAAAGCCGAGGACTCTCTTCCACTTTTGTTATTGAAATGTAGGATAAGGTAATCAGTGTGCGAAGAGTATTCACATGTGCCCACACCCCGGTAAACAGTGAATCGAGGGAACAAGAGGGGGTTTAGTGGGTAGGCTCCTTGTCCCTTTAGGGATGTGGAGAGAGTCCCACATAACCGGAGCGGCTTTCCTCGAGGCACCCGGTATGCGTAACGCATTCCCTCTCTTAAAAAAAATGATAAGGTAATCAGTTAAAAACTCTTGTTAAGACTTGAAGTTACCTTCGTCATTTTAAGGTTACCTGTTAAGATTTCTTTGCAAGCTTAAAAGTTTTAAAAAAGATTTGCAATCAGCAAACAAGATGGTGGAAGCTGCAAACGGAAGGAAGTAGCTTTGCGAAGCTCACGGAAAAATCCTGTACCATTTTATTACTGCAAAGTAACGATTAAACGCACGATTTTAAATCTTAACATCAAAGCTATAAGGTTTAGTTTTCTTTAAGGTTTAGGTTCTTCTTTACTCGCTAAGCACTAAATGAATTATCCTCATTGAAGACTGATTTTGCAATAAAAGGAATATTATTGTCACTTTCGTTACAATACAATATTTTTAGTTTTTTTTTTGTTCGATTTCCATTTAATTTGAAATAAAAACTTTTATAGCTATTACATTGCCGATTAAAAAAAAATGAATGCAAAAACGATCACGCAAAATAGCGTCTACGACATTCTACGCCATTTTATATTGAAACGTAGCCTTTCGTAGCCAACATCTTTGTGGGTTGTTCGTAAGAACAAACAAAAAAACTACTGAAGTGATTTTAAGAACTATTTAACTATAATACTCTAGTATCCTTAAGTAATATAAAGTATACTTGATATGTATACTGTATTATAAAAAAAATAACAAACACATTTTAACCTTTTAACCGCCGGTGTTTGATGATGGATCAACGTAGTTATAAAAGAGTGTATTAACCCCGTAAATATGTATCACCGATACGTTTTCCAATGAAAGTATTTTGGTATTTCAGAAGCCTGCGCATAATCATATTTGCAATAAATTATGTTGTAATGTGTCATATCAGCGTGCGATAATAGGATTCAAATACTATTTATGTTTAAGGTAAAAAGTAACTGATTTTATAGTTTTTACAGTTCCGTACCTCATAGGAAAAACACGGAACCCTTATAGGATCACTTTGTTGTCCGTCCGTCTGTCTGTTAAGACCCTTTTTTTAATCATTATCTATCAGTAAGAAGCCGTATATCTTGTCAATTGCATCAGACCGTAGTATGTTAACTTGACATATTAATATCAGCGATAGTATGATTATAAGTTTAATTAAACTAAGTTACAGCGCGGCCTCACTTAACGCTCACTTAAGTACACAAGTACTGATTACACTGATTTATCATTATTGTTATATTAGATTTTCGACGGCGATTGCTTATCTAGAAAAAATGTGACCTGAAAAACTGTCCCTATTAATTTTTTTGTAAAAATTCGTCTTTTCGTCAATATGAATTTATATTTAGTATACTTTTTTGATGCTCTTTCTATATTTGTAATGTTTGTATGAATACCACAATGAAACAAATTAAATAATATATCGTATAACTGCTGCATCTATTTATAATTTTATGATTTAACACAATATTTTTATGATTTTTTTTTAATAAAATCGTTGTCAATCTAAATATTTTTATCCTTTACGTTTTTTTTTCGTAAAATCCTACTAACATTATAATATAACAAAAATACTTTGAGTAACATAAATAAGTTTAGGTACCTTTATATAGTTTATGAAAAAAACGCACTTTTTGTTATTAACATAAAATAGAGTTCAATTAGTGAATAAACAAAAAATCGATTGTACTGCAAAAGATTTCAACGCGCTGTGAGCTTTTAATTATTTTTTACTATTGTTATGTTCCATCGTTATTTAGTTTTTATTATAAATTGTCATATTGTTTCTAAATTATAACTAACATGTATAATTTTACTAATTAAAATTCTGAATTAAATCTTTTCAGATTCGTTAGATGTTACTTAAAAAAATTCTAATAAATCTTCAAAATATAACTTAATTATGCTTAAGTTTACTTAAGTTAAGTTAAATACAAATTATTTTTTTGGCAGTTGCAGATTTATTTTTAATTACTACGAAAAAGATTTCATAAAACTATTCATTTAAATTAAATTACACGTTAATTTATTTTTGTCTAGTTATTTCGAACAAAGTTATTAATATTAATAGTATTCATAATTACGCATAAAGATATTATTAAAAAAAAAAACATCTCGGAAAATTACGAAAAATAAAAAAAATCTTAGTATATTTAAAATTCCATCAAAAAAGTACAACTCAAAAAAATAGCTTACGATATTATGACTCACCTGTACCTCTCCAGAGATGTTCAGGAACAAGGGTATAATGCAGGCTCTGCCGTGAGAACCTCGCGTTATATGTCCCGCTTTCCCTCCCACCAGGACGGGTTCGGGGGGGACAGTGGGTGGATCCATGCCCTCTCCCTCCCCGCACATACCCCGTGGACACCTGAGGAACTAACGTAATGACATTTTCCTAGAAAAATGCGCTCATGTTCAATTACAATTTTTGTATGTCATTTTTGTAAAGATTTGTAGCAGTTTTAAAGTTATGTTTTGGGTTTATTACATTTAAAGCTTATTTATTTCAAGCATAAATTTATGTTTGATTTATATTTTATGATTTAAATTTATGCTTTAAATTTATGCTTGATTTACATTTTATATTTTTAACAGCCAGTAAGTCGTGATAAGTTAATTCAATCCAACAAAATTATAAGTTGAATTTCCACTGGAAAATATTAGGATGTTATATTTTTTGATGATGATATACGTGGAAATGGGTATAGTTATATTATTATTAGGTGTTACCAGCATCACTGTCCGCGCGAAATAAAAAAAGGGCTTAATCATTAAAGTAAAGTTTGTTTGAAGGTACCTCAGAATAGCTGCATGGATCTCGTTGAAATTTGGCATAGATTTAGAGCATAGTCTGGTAGAGCACATAGGCTACTAATTAGGTTTTTTTTGATATTCCGGATGGACGGCTGACGGAGTCGCGGACGACAGCTAGTTAAAAATACTCTACGATCTTGTATTGCTGGAACCATTCAATAAAATATTAATAAACTGATCTTCTTAAAGTTAAATAATAATTTGTATGCACTCCGAAGAAATATTTCTGCTCTTTATAAATAGTTAAGCAGTATTTAAAATACTGTCCTAGGTTTCATTTCATTAGAACAACTTTCAATCATTGCGTTTGCACGTGGAACTTTGTTGCGGTGTTCATTTCTAAGATAAATTTCATTAGAGATATTTTAAAAGTAGAGATATCGATGATTTTTCTACGTTAAACGTCTAAGACATCTGTTAAAAATGATTAACTACTTACTTAAATCTTGGAAACTAATATTGTATCGCCTTACACGCGCTTTGAACACACAACGTTGAATCGTCGACGCGAGTCGTCTCTTCTTTCAGCTCAGGCCTGGCAGGTCTTGAAAACGATCTTAACAACAGGTTGCGAGCAACTGGTCTTGGCGACGAAAGAATAAAATGTTGAAGGCGCTCTATGTTCGAAGCTCTATGACATTGCGTAAGTTTAGCGACTAAAATCGGGTTTCGATTTTTTTTAAGTCTTTTTATTTACGAATGAATCCTTCATTTAATATACAGGTCATGTTACCCTTTTAAGAGATGTCCTTAATTGGAACGAGCAATGGTTGGATGAACGTAAATATAATAATTTACAAAAACAAACAAACTCCTTTGCCCACGTCGCTGTAGGACGATGCAAAATATTAATATTCATTAAGAAAACTTTTGGTATTAATAACTTATTTATATTATCCAGTTGTTTTCTTAATCCCTTTAATATGGGATGGCTTTTGTTTTTATTTGAAATGAGTTACGAATACGGGCGAATCAATATTTTCAGGTAGAGCTCGACATACAGGATGAGTTTTTTGTAACTGTGTAGTCACTGTTTGCCTTGAAGAGGTATTTACAGCTCGTTTAAGAGTAACAAGACCCGAAGGCTCCTTCAGGAGCCTCGGCTCGGGCTGTTACTTCGTTATTGTTACCGGATTGGGAGGTCACCGAGCTTTTAGATCGCTTAGGTGGACGCTCCATGGACTGACTGGTCTCGAAGGCCCCCGAGAGAGGACTTGGGCTGTCATTCATTACGGGCTTAGCATTCCGATTCAAGGGTGCCCGAGAGGGCCGAACCTCGGCTTGATTCCTATTATCTGATTGCTATTAATACATCTATACAGGGTGTTTTTTTTTTCAGCTACTTAAGTATCTGCAGGTTTGTATTGTTTTAAATTATGTTAAGTTATACAATGAAATTGAATTTAAATTAGTCAAACCAAAATAGTTAGATAAAAAAACTGTTATGACGTAAATAAACCACATTACTTTTTTTTGTGTTTCCACATAATTATAAAAAAAAACTTAACATGACGTAAGACGAAGATCTTACCTTGTACATATAAATTTCAAGGAAATCATGAAATAATATTTCTTAATACACCACGGATCCTTATTGAATTGAAATTCCAAGTAAACTGCAATCAACTTTTCTTGCATTGAATTAATTTTACGTTTACGTAACGTGAAACGTTTAATTTATTGAAGATTTACAATTTTCTTCAATAGACGTACCGTTACATTCAAATGTTTATTTAATAAGGAATCACTTTTAATTTAAATATAAGTAGATAGTTCAAATCAGATTTAGTACATGAAATCAAACTTAATTTATTTTTTACTAATATCATTTCGTTGAGTTATTTTGTCGAGAATTATTTTTATTTAAATATGTTTATGTATTGGGAGTAGTGAAACGATAGCTAGCTTAGCGCAGACTGTTTATTTAAGTAGCTGTCACACTAACGGCGGAATTCGCCGTTCGTTCGGAAACAAGCGCTGTGCAAGCGCATATACAACAAATATTTTCATAAATCAAATTAAAAATTGGATTACAAATATAGTGCCAAATAAATCACGGTTAGGGACTTATGTTAGGTTCAAATCCAGCCATTTCAGTATTAACCGACTATATCTTACCACAAGCTTCGAGCTTATTTGGAATGAACTAAATACAATTAAGTACTTTTAATTATCTGATGGGAAATACCAAAAGAGATTTTTTTATTTTATATTAAAAATCAATAAGAAATATATTTCTAAATGTTTTATTAAAAGTAGATATCCATTATCACTGAATACGGATTATCTTGTAAGACCCAGTTTATGATTTCCCTGGTTTCTTGATGCCCAGCTCGGGAATCTGGAAAGAGACATAGTTCACCTTTACCAGAAGAGGGGATAAACTAGGTAGAAGAAAATAGATATTTTGTCTTCCTCTTCTTTATCGATTTTATGTCTCAAAGTAAATGTACTTACATCTTTTGACGTTGAATTTGATTTCGGATAATTGTACTGTAAAAAAACGTAACAGTTTAAAATTATAATTTGTGTCAATTTTACTTTCAATCTAATAAAATCTAAGAAAGTACCTGTAAACTAAACGCGCGTTTACTATACGCCACACCTATGTCCGACGTAATAGCGAACGCCGATGTCATCTAAAAATTAACAATCAACAACTACCAAATAGGAAATCAGAAGCTTAAACCTTAGTTCCACTAAGCGTTTCATCGCGTGCAAACACTATGTGTACCAATAATGTACTTATAATTTTTATTGTCACATCCGACTCGAAGGATTAGGAGTCGTGTGCGGTGAATCGCTTAGTGAAAAACTTATCCATCGCTTGGTTGTGCTCTAACAAATATAGGAAAAAATTACCACCTTCATTAGTATTATATGTAAATGTACATATAACTTTATATTATTTAAAAGGCAGATACTATTATAATATGTTCAGTATATTTCAATATTTTAACAAAGATCTGAAAATATTATATTACGAAACCAAAAAAGTTTGTAGAATTATTCAAACTTTCGTGAGACATTATACTAAACTGATATATAAACACGGCTAAACACTCACGTATATACAAAGTGAGGTAATCCTGATGAAGGGCCCCCGATGGGCTCGAAACTAGTCGTTGCCGCCACCGGACGTATATACGTGAGTGTTTAGCCGTGTTTATATATCAGTTAAGTATGTAGAAATAATCTTATTTCTTCGTTAGTCTATCTTACTAATATAATAAATGCGAATGTTTAGATGGATGTTTGTTAGAAGGTATCTCCAAAACGGATGCACTGATCTCGTTGAAATATTGTATAGATGTAGATTATATCTGAAAGAATATATATATATATATATGCTACTTAAAAGCTATTTAATTCCGGGCAAACGATGTCACGGGCAATAAACTAGTGAAATATATATTTACCAGCAAACAGAATACTAATTTTATCTTCATAATAGAAAGTATCAGAATACGTCTGTACACACTCAATACAGAAAACGAAATGATATTCCATTTATTCCAATTGTAAGGTATATCGAAGCTGAAGTATTACTTTGGTAACATCCTGGAATAAATTACCGGAATTTGCGTTGTTACTTTTAAATGATTACTTACGATTGTCACTATTACTGTAAATTACTGCATCAAGATATATTGTAACACTAGCTGTCGCCTACGACTCCGTCTGTGCGGAATTAAAACACTTAATTAGTAGCCTATGTGTTCATCCAGACTATGTTCTACGTCTATGCCAAATTTCAGCCGGATCCGTTCAGCCGTTCAAGAGATACCTTCAAACAAACATACGTCCATCCATCCATCTAAACAGTCGCATTTATAATATTAGTAAGAATAAGATTTAACATCTATGGCCGTATTTTAATGTAACATTCATAACGTTTTTGTTGGAAAATAATCTCTTACCGAAGGATACAGGATATTTTTTGAAGCAGTTTGCAGTAAATAGCACTTATAAAACTTTTTGGTAGATTTGCATTCTTTTATTGCCGGCTTTGCAGCTTTTTTTCTCCCTTGGCACTGTAAGAAACAGTTATTTGCATGATCTATATTGTGATTTCGCACAAAAAATCTACACAGACTTCTAAGTGTCTAGCCCAGGATAAAAAATAGACCGAACTAAGGGTTGGGTCAAGAGCTACGCGCATTTAACCATGCGCGTTATCGGTGTATGGGAGGTCGCAAAATCTGGATTGTTGCCATCTAATGACATGAATGCCGTTGTCGGTCTGTTTACCTATCTTGTTAATTAGCCGACTTGACACAGATGGAGGTTATCAATTCGTTTTTTTTATGGTTAACATATTCACCACACCACATAGCTACGCTCTTGGTGCTCAGATTTTTATAATCCTTTTGTTTTGACTTTTATACCTATAAACTTCTTGATGTTTATACTATTTTTTTTATGTATCATAAGGTGGCAAACGACCGAGCGGCCACCTGAAATCGCTGTAATAGCCAAGTGACCGTTGCCCATAGACATACGCAATTGCATTTGCGTTGCCTTACTTTAGTCGACAGAGAAGAGGGTGCACAAAAAGAAAATATTTTCCCTTTCCATGCATCTCTCATCCGGAAAGTTCACTTCCACATCCCATCTTTTCCTTAAAAGAAAAAGGGTGGGAAAGAAAGGAGGATGAAATTAGGCCTCCGGGACGCACACTCATCAGGATGGACGCGGAATTGCTTCCACTTGACGCGTGTCTTCTGTGTGGTCGTGGTACTTCACCGGGCGAGCCGGACAAATTCGTGCGAAGAATTTAAAGCGGGCTCTACCAATATTTTTATATGAACGAATAATGTTTTTGTCACATGGATTACATATAAAATAAATATAAATAACATTAATTAACATATACTCTTTTATTTTATATCATTTACACAAATGTCCGCGACCGGGTCGAATTTTGCCCGATGACCTTTCATTGTTGTAATTTTTTTGTATGCTCGAAATTTTAATAAATTTGGATTACTTGCTTATATATTCATAACTTTGCGAGCGGTCAGTTGAAGTGATTCTCTGTGCATTTGAACGTTAATACGCTGATTTTTGCTTTTGAAGTCTAACCATTTCCTGCCATAAGTTAATAGAAGTTTTTGAGGTTTGTACAAAATTTATAGTAATTCATTTTATGCGGAATAGGATTAATGCGAAATAAATATATTTTAAAGTTTTTAGAATTATTTATTGAATAGTTTGGTTTTTAGGGTTCCGTACCTCATAGGAAAAAAACGGAACCCTTATAGGATCACTTTGTTGTCCGTCCGTCTATCTGTCAAGATCCTTTTTCTCAAAAACACGTGAAGGTATCAGGCTGGAATTTATTTTTTTGTTAAAGAAAAAACTACGTCGATTATTTTATAACTAAAGAATCAATCTATTTTATTTTAATTTAGTGTACTAACTTAAGTATTAATAAACGTATAATTTGCTATACGGAATTATTCCTCAATATTACATAAAGTCTAATTTTATGCCTTTAAAAGTATTTTAAACTTTAAATGATATGCAAATTAAAAAACTACAGCGCTGTAATTATTGTACAGTTGGAATAAAATAAAGGTAAACGATCATGCGCAACAAATTTACTTCAATTTGTATGTGACTGATTAAGAAATTTCTCCTCCATCGATTAAAGTTAGGTAAAATATCTGCGATTGCGTTTGCCTATTAGCAACAGTCACTATTTCAGCCAATAAAGATAGCCAGTTCTTCGTTTGCCACCTTTAAATATAAAAAGAGGAAAGTTAATTTTTTCTAATATATAGACGCATGTTTCTTTTGCCAACGGAGGGTCGGCACAGTTGTACTGTTCTTACATATATCTCTATCAACCGTAATGTCTGAATTCACATCCATATTACGCATATCTTCTTCCACACAATCTACTATCCTCTGTCTTTCTCTACCTTTGTAGCTATCCATCTTCCTCGGAGTGTAATGCTTATGTACTTCAGGACTATGTACTCTGTATCTTTATCACGATACGTAATCTGAGTTGCACGTAATTTCATCCTTTACTTAATGTCAATAGATATGGATCCAGCTTTAGAATTTGAGCACTTAATGCTGCGTAAACAGGAACCCATACTGGAAGCCATCGCCAACGGGGATTCCCCCATCCAAAGATTTTACAGTGGCAGCAAAATATTCATAACTGGTGGTTATGGTTTTATTGGTAAATTAATTATTGAGAAAATATTCAGGTATGTTCCATGTAATTTCCACTGTAGTGTCATTTTTTTTTATTGCCATCCCTCTCGAATCGGTTATATAGACCATAAATTATGACAGCTCACTACCGCCCTATAAATTATAGAGGGATATCAATGCCTCTCTCAACGGGCCAGATATCCTTATTTTGACGATACTGTTTAAATGCCATACTCAGAGTTTTTAAATAGTTACATAGGACCTTTAATGCTTAGACTGAAATATAAGTAACAGTAGTGAACTTAAAAGTTATGAGTGCGGCCATACAACTTGCAGTACTAAAATGAATTATAATTTATGTTTATATAGAGAATTTGTTATTGTTTACAGGGCTTGCAATGTCAATAAAATTTACGTTTTAATAAGGTCTAAGAAAAATTTGAAACCAAGAGAGAGGCTTACTGAAGTCCTTAAGGATCCCGTAAGTCATGTTTATAATTGTCTTCCATTATTTGGGCAAAAGTGACACCGAAAACACGTGACACTTAACAGTACCGTCGTACCTATGGGTTTCCATTGGCGAAAAAGTTTTGTTTAAATTAAACTTTAGAAACTCACGCTTAACTTATTTGTTTTATTTTAAGGTATTCAGTAAATTACATGCGGAGCAACCTGACTTTGTCAACAAAATTATAGCAGTCGAGGGTGATTTAGGTCAACCAAATATTGGAATGAACGATGATGACTGGAATACTGTTCAAGAGGTAAGCTGGATTGGAATCACAATATCACCCAAATGCAGATGCGAAGAGTTCCTTAACCCTTTTGTTCTGTTTAACAAAAAAATATTATGTTACTAGCTGTGGCCCGCGACTCTTAATTAGCAGCCTATGTGTTCTTCTAAACTATGTTCTACATGTACCTTCAAATAAACATCCATGCATCCATCTGAACATTTATAACATTAAGATAAGATAAAAATTAGACGGGTTGACCCAATGACACTCAAGAGAGTACGAATCGAAAGACACCTCACTCGTTCGTTCTGTCGTTTAGGTTTCAAGAGGTCACAATTTTATGCCTTTATTAGCCAATCTTGTAACATGTAAACAAATAATATTGTTGTAATCAGGTCGATATCATATTCCACGTAGCAGCGCATATAAGATTTGATGGTGAACTAAAACAGGCTATATTTACAAATGTACGTGGTACAAGGGAGGTGCTACGACTGGGTAAATCTTGTAAGAACTTGCGCGCTTTAGTGCATGTGTCCACTGCGTTTACGCACGCGAAAGAAAGCCGAAGGGGATGTGTGGTTAGCGAGAGATTTTACGAAAGCCCCGGCGATCCAGATGCTATTATTAACATTGCCGAGTCTTTGGATCTTGAGAAACTAGAGGAAACAAGACAATTGTGAGTTATAACACTTATCATTTGACTTTTTAAATTTTAGTCTGCCTATAAGGTCGTGTTCCGTCTAATCTCCGAAACGGCTGGACCAATTTTGATGGGACTTTGGCGGGTAGGTAGCTGAGACACACGGGCATAAGCTAGTTTTTTTCTGATACATATAATTTTAGGATGTTAAGAGACTGGCCGAATACTTACACGATGTCGAAGGCGTTGGCTGACGAGTTGGTGCGCAAAATGGCGGATGACTTGCCGATTTGTATTGTTAAACCAACGCTAGGTGAGATCATGAAATGACCTTTTAAGTTATCCGTTGTCGATAAATTAACCACTATTTTTTTATTTTTCAGTAATATCATCGTATAGCGAACCTTGCCCTGGCTGGCTAGATATGACCTGTGTTTATGGAGCTACAGGAGTAAGTCACATATACATACATACATACATAAATGCATGCATATATACTTAAATACAATTATATAAAATAATAATAATATTAAAAAAAAACATCAAAATTGGTGAATCAAGACGATTATTAGCAAGCGGCCGTAACGCTTTTTTGTGACGGAATACTAAGACGGGGGGATTGGGGTCTTAGTATTTTTCCGTCTCTCTGTTTGTTTCCTTCTTTAACGTCTGAATTTTCAGCTCAATAATTTTTCACACGAATCATTAGGTGGTGACATTTATTTTTTAACATAATTAACCTTAAAAAAATTCTGGTATCAGTTTCTTCTAGGCATAGGTTTGGGTTTAATTCATATAGTTCTGGTTAATAAGAGAAAGAGATTGGACATAGTACCAGCTGATATGGTCGCAAATGCTGTAGTCGCTTCAGCATGGGAGACAGCAAAGAAAACATCGAATGAACCTCAAATATACACTGTAACAAGTAACAGGAATCCAATAACATGGGGTAAGTTATTTTCTACACTAAGGAGCACTCTTAACAACTCTAATTTCTTTACTAACTTAATAACTCTGAGTGGAAAAGTAAGTGACATAAGTTATGTAACATACAGTATTGTGTGTTTTACTTATTTATCAATTTTGTAAGAGAACACAATGAAATCAAATAATGACACCCAAGAGTTTCTACTCTGGGTTTCCGCTGTTAAAAAAATTTAGTATGTTTTAAATTCTTTCTTTGAAAATGTCGTTAATATAATTTATCTATACTAATGTTACATGTATAAAGAGGAACAATTTGCTTGTTTGCATTGATTGGGCATCAAAACTATTGAACCAATTTAAAAAAATTTTTCACTGTAGGAAGCTACACTATTCTTCGGTGAAATCTTCTATTTACTGTTTTCAGATTTTTATTCTCAAGTTGTAAGAACTGTAGGACCAGATTACGCAAGTCCTAAAGTTGTGTGGTCACCGTTTGTTATAGAAACGAAAAGTGAATTAATTTTCTTTATATTTACATGGATATTGCACTTTGTACCTGCATATATTATTGATGTTGTTTGTTTATTGCTTGGGAAACCACGAAGGTAAGTTGAATTAAATATTTTTTGTTACCAATTCAGCGTTCTTGTGAAGTGAAACATTATGATGCAATCTGTACATATTCATGATTAAATTACCAACTAAAGAGATGTTGATTGATACAAATAAACGAATATCATATGTTATGACTTTTGTCAACCCTATTTAAAGTAATGAGATTGAATGTGGATGGCTACAAAGATAGAGGATGACCAAAAAAAGTATCGATGGACTGTAGTACTGTACCAACCGCCAGTAGGGATAAGGGCAGGTTGATAATTATGACTAAAAGTAAACAATTATATCTATAATAGAAGTGGTTGTTTTTTTTATCTGTCTTTTTCTTCTAAACTGTCATTTTTTTAATTTCAGATTTGTTAAATTATATGAGAAAGTATACAAAAGTAACAAACTATTTTCACATTTTATACAAAAAGAATGGCTATTCTGTGATAAAAATTTGCAAGAATTATACAAGAAAATGTCAAATACAGACAAAACAATCTTCAATTTCAATATAGTAACTGTTAACATGAAGCAACTCATAACAACATGGATTCTAGGAATTAGAAAATATTTAATTAAAGATGATCTTAAAGGTACAGAGTTTGCTAAGAAAAAAACGTTCTGGCTAAATATACTTAACTATATTATATTGACCGTATATGCTTTTTGTTGGTGGAAAATTTTGAAACTAATCTTCTGGTCGGCAGTCAAATTGTATAATTGAACTCAAAGTATAAAGTTATATATTTTAAATATATCGCAAATACTTATTAAATACTTTTGTCTTCATATTTCTGTGTTTTATTTACTTGATATTAAGACTTTTTAATAGATATACAATTTATGGGATAACAAAAAAAACCGTTTAGCTGTTTATATACAAACAATAAGTTGTCAATTGTCAAAGCGTTCCTTTGCCTTTGACTTTGTCATGTGACGTAAGACGCATTGAAATTGACAGTTTTAAACAGTTTGTAAATCAACCAAAATATTTTTATGACAAGTAAGATTTTATATTTATCAATAGAAGCTAGTACTAACAGCATTTCTGTCTATATCTTTTTTATAACAATTTAGTTATGTATTTAGACAAGAAAATAAATATTTGTACATAAATTACGAGAAATCGATTTTGTTACACCAAAAATAGTTTTTATTACAAATAACACTTTTCAAAGTACAATGGATTAAACGGTCATTAAACAATGATAAGATAGCAAGTAAGATCAGAGAGTTCGTCACGAAAATTTGCAACACGCACTTTCGTAACGTAAATCGATTATGTTACGAATAAATCCTCGCAAATTGTCTAGGTTCTTTGATGACTCTGCAACTCTGCAACTATGCACGTCATAATGTCATATGATTTTGACATAAGTAATTTTTTAAAGCGGCAACACCAAAATGGCCGCAGCCAGTTATTGAGCGGGTGGTTGTTGCCTATTTTGTTGTAAATATCATTCGTAAACTTAATCATAGTGGTATAGAAATCACTTAAAGTTATGAAATAAGGTGAAGTGTAACATAAAAACATCAAAATTAAAGTTCTGCAGTGATTACCAAGCATGTAAGTGTGATTATTATATTTTTCTGGCAAGTAATATTTTGCCATAATATTTATTTATATGGTTTCTTGCTCTAGTTCACGGGTAACGACGTCGCATCATGTGTTAAGTTGATGTTAAGTGGTAAATAGAATTTTGGAGTTATTTTAATCTTTATTTTATACATGGGATAAAGGCTAAGCTTTTATTAAGAGGTTAAGTTGCTTGTTATAAGTATTATATTAAAACCGGATTGTATCACGGACGATTATTAGTAAATAATTCTAAGAATAACGCGATCTCGCTTGAGCGTTGAAAGATGCTAACAGGGATTTCACGTAGTGGGAGAAACAATGCGTAATCTTAATGACGCTATGTATTCTTCTGTTTTCGTTTGTTTTTAGTATTTATATCACCCGTTTAATTTATTTGAGCTTAACAATGTTCCATATTTGAAAATTGACATATTACCTCTGACCTCTATTAGTTAATCGTTTTTTCTTTCAACTTGACCTTTAATTTGTCATTTGAACATTCTATTGAATTTTTTTTTTAACTTTGAATTGAGTCAAATGTTTTGTCAATGCCGGAATTATACCTATGTACCTAAAGGCGTTTATTAGAATTGCAAATAGAACATATCTATTCAATTTTGATAGAAAACTTATTAAAATTCGGTCATAGTGAATCTATAAATAAACGGATTTTTTTTTTTATCATTGTATTTATACAAGTAATAAATTACAGTGTCTGTATGTAATATCGATAAAAATAATATTTCATTTACATGTATATTTGTGTGGCTTATAACGGAAAATATTACCAATATTATAAATTCGAATGTTTGGTTAGATGGATGTATAGAAGAAGGTATCTCCAGAACGGCTGCATCGATCTTGACGAAATTTGGCATACATATAGAACATAGTCTGGAAGAACACATAAGCTACTAATTAAGGTTTTTTTTTAAATCCACGCGGACGGAGTCGCGACCGACGGGTAGTCAATTATAAAAGTTGTCTATTTGTCTGCAAAATCGTGTTTGTTCCAGCCATTCTCCGAAACGGCTGTACTGATTTTGACGAGAGTTTACTTGAAAATGTGCTTAGATGATCTGGAAATCTAAGGAGTCTAAGCCTACTTTTTATCATCCTATTCCGACAAATACGTTGACCGCTGATGTATAATATTTTCGACGACTTAAAAAAAACTCTGTTTTACATATGACTCCACATGTTCCTAGACTTTAGGAACATGTGTTTACGGACGGATAGAGTGATAATTAACACGTTCACTGCCACCCACTCGCCTGGTGTATTTATTTCCAAATTTTAGTTCGGCAAGGAATAAACGGAATTAAGTCTAACGTTAATGATAAATGTTTCGCCATATTACCGTTAGAAAGCTTTTGCCCACAACTCCGTCTGAGCGGAATAAAAAAAAGTAGTAGCCTATGTGTTCTTCCAAAGAGTTTAACATCTGTAACATTTTTTATCAATCCATGCAGCCTTTCTGGAGATACTGTGTAACAAACCTTTGCATCTATATATATGTAAAAGAAAGTCGTGTTAGTTACACTATTTATAACTCAAGAACGGCTAACCGATATGGCTGAAAATTGGTGAGGAGGTAGCTTAGACCAAGGTGACGGACTTAAGATACTATTTATTCATTTTTTTCGAATTTATTCCTTGAAGAGTTGCTTTTCATTTAACTTACTAATATTATAAATGCGAATGTTTAGATCGATGTGATGTGGATAGATAGATGGGTGGGCTACACTTATTAAGTTTTTTTTATATATCCACGCGGATGGAGTCGCGGGCGACAGCTATTTTATAATATTAGTAAGATTTTCTAGCACAGTTATTTGTTATGTGCATAAATTATTGTTAAGAAAGCATCGGCTGTATAATAGACATGTTATGCGACGGGACAGTCGATAATCCTCGATCTATGACGTCATCTCCATTCTCAAACATTTATACAACGATTATTGTTGTTTCAGTTTTTTCAGCGAGAATAAACGAGACAAAATGTCCTGTGTATTGCGGCATTATTTTTTTAAACAGGAAATACAATTTTTGTAAGACTTTTAAGCCCATATCAAGTGTTTATTTAATCTTACTAATATAGAAATGCGAATGTTTAGACAGATGGCTGTACGGATCTCGATTAAATTTGGAATACATATAGAACATAGTCTGAAAGAACAAATAGGATACTTATTTATTTTTTAATTCCGCGCGGACGGAGTCACGGGCGTCAGCTAGTAAAAGTATGAGATTAAATCGCTTTAGTATGTTTAATGCAGACAATTTAAAAAAGTCGATTTAAATTTCTAAAAAAAAATGTATGGTGATATAGGATGTTAATTTTCTATTACCTTTGTATAAAGCCCGCTATATACGATCAGTTTTAACTAAACAGCCCGATTCTTCAGATAAAACTGAACGTATGTAGCGAGCTTTGTTATTTGACGCTCAAAATACGATTAGATCGAAAATATGTCGTAAAAACTTACGTAAGTTATAAGTTATAGCTCTTATGGTAACAGTATAGTAGGAGATTTGATAAGTGGGTAACGAATTTAATTCTCTGACTACATTTGTCGCTGTCACCTGACCGCCTGGGTAGAGATGGCCGCAATTGCTAGATGTGCCGTTTCCTTTCCACTAATAGACGATTTGTTGGAATTGTGAATTATTTATACCATGTTACGACAAGTTTCCAATGGCGAAACATTTATACAAAATTATATCGTCATCTCACTCATTCGTTTAAAAAAAGAGACCACTTTTATAAGTTGACATTGTCACGGTTATAAAGTCATTTCCTGTGGGCTTTTGACACCAAAATCTCTGTATAAAGTATATCTTCATCCCTGTCTTTTATCTTTGACAAAACAGAGAAAACAATATGTTATACCTTTTGATTGATTAAGATAACATTTAACAAACATCCATCTAAACTTTAACATTTATAATATTAAAGACTAACTGTCGCCCGCGACTCCGTCCGCGTGGATATATAAAAAGAACTTAATTAGTGTAGCCAGCCCACCCATCCATCCATCCACATCACTTCCATCTAAACATTCGCATTTATAATATTAGCAAGTTAAATAAAAAGCAGCTCTTCAAGGCATAAATTCGATAAAAAAAAGAAAAAAAATGAATAAATAGTATCCTACGTCCGTCTCCTGACTCTAATCTACCTCCTCACTAATTTTCAGGCATATCGGCAAAGCCTTTCTTGAGTTATAAATAGTGTAACTAACACGACTTTCTTTTATATATATACGAGTATATAGAAGATTATAACAACCTCGTAGCCACTAGTAGTAGACCGATTTAATTGTGAGGTTGTTATTCGAATTCTTTGAAGTAGTCGTTATCGATTTTTATTCGTTATAAACAAATTATTATCGCTTAATTATGTATGCCAAATATGCAAATTTTCGTGCACATAGTTTTTTTTGTATGTTTTATGGTTATTATTATATAAATTTAAGTATGAATTTTTATAAAAATAATAAAAATTTCGTCATACTATGTATTCGTGCTGCTTGAACAAATAATAACTGGGAAGTCAGAAAGCCTGGTACTAATATTTAGTAACACAAAAATCTTTTGTTTTCTCGTGTGATTTTAGGAGTTTCTTTTAATATGTTAATTTTTAAATTATATTACTTAATGATAAACTTCTTACTTAATAATAATATTACAAATGCGAATGTTTGGATGGATGGATAGATGTTTGTTTGAATGTATCTCGAGAACGGCTTTATCGATCTCGCTGAAATTTGGTATAGATATAAAACATAGTCTAGAACACATAGGCTGCTTATTGAGTATTTTTGTCTAATACAGTGCAGACGGAGTCGCGGGCGACAGCTATATAGAGTGTCCAGAAATTCATTTGGTCATTTCTGGACATCCTGTATAAGAACGGACATAATCAGTACAAAAGTTTCCTTGGTCACATGAATACTATTTTGAAGATAATGTCCGGATATACCTAAGATGTAATCTTTCAAGTACTTTGATAATTTTGACAAATTTACAGCAATACGATATTTTATAAAAAAAAATTATTCAGTTTTCTAATCATAAAGTAAAGCAGCAGCTGAGCAGTTTCTTAATATAGTTTTTACATTATATTTCTAAAATTAATAAATCACTCAGAGACGTAGAATGGTTAATAAATTAACCATTCTACGTCTCTGAGTACAGTAAAATACTTCTACAATTGGATTGTAAAATAATATCGATAACAAATTAAAGTTTCCTAATAAAAATACCCTTTTTCGTAATAGACTATTGCATACATAATATTATAAAGAAGAAAGATTTAATTATTTGTTTGCATTGAATAATCTTCTATACATCTATACATATAAAAGAAAGTCGTGTTAGTTAAATTATTTATAACTCAAGAACGGCTTTACCGATATGGCTGAAAATTGGTGAGGAGGTAGCTTAGAGCCAGGAGACGGACATAGGATACTATTTATTCATTTTTTTCGAATTTACGCCTTGAAGAGCTGCTTTTTATTTAACTTACTAATATTATAAATGCGAATGTTTAGATGGATGTGATGTGGATGGATGGGTGGGCTGGCTACACTAATTAAGTTTTTTTTATATATCCACGCGGACGGAGTCGCGGGCGACAGCTAGTATTAAATAAAATAATATTTATCCCTTGACCCACTTTATCTTTACAAAGATAGTAATTGATATCCATACAGGACGTCTACTGGATATCATTTGCGAGGAACGGATATCCCTATCCTTTCGCTATCCACTTATCTATCGGATAGTATATCAGTTGCGAGACCTAAGCATTTTTTTAATTTCTTTTCACTAATTAATATTTAACGGGTTCCCTTATGATAAAAAGACCAGAAGGTCCCTTAAGAAGGCTGTATCTTCGTAGTAAAGTTCAGTTTCACCATATTTTTATTTCTACCAAACTCATGATGTTATCTCTATCTTTTTTAAACACAAGAGAGGGATAG